TATGAAATGTCAGCTCCAGACCTCAATCAAACTGATTGAAAGATTACGTCTTCATCATATGAATATTAAGCATAATTCCTCAAGTTAGTGGTTTAGTATCATACCGTCATAATATATATAAGACGAACATAACTGTCATATAAAGGGAGGGTTTAGCTAGCTATAAAACCAGGGTTAACTCACCATTTTCTGCATAAGAAAATGCATGTACTTAGTCAGTTTGTATCAGTTGTTAACCATTTGGTTGATGTGTTTTCAGTTTTGATTTTGCCATTCGATTATGGATTTTTGTTAATTTGGATTTAGTTAATCTTTACCTTTATCATTTTTTTTTTGGTTGGATCGAGTCTTGAAACTTTAAAACAGACTATAACATGTATAACGTTTCAGATACGGATTTTAGTATACGTTTCACCAATTAGGAGAACAAAAAGTATTAATTGCATTCAAAAAGTACTCTCGTGCTTCACGGTTTACTTATGAATATGAGCAAACTAATCAAACAAAACCAAATAAAAGCAATATCAAGGAAGAGATTATACATGCAAAAGTATAATGCTTCAAGAATAAAAGCCTTCCAACACTTTCCTGACTAGTAACTATAATGAGGTACATCTTTAAATTTGTGCATCCAATGTCATGGTAGTTTTCTATTAACAAATCATTTTAAATTGCCTAATACTAGTAGTACATTCGACAGTGGTAGATTTATATACATCCTAAAGCTGATTACAGAAATAAGGTAAATGTACCAAAAAGATTTGCCTGTTTGTAAAACTGCTTAACGCGAATTTAAACACTGCGGCTTTGGTAAAACAAAAACAAAAACAGAGGTTAAACTCAAACAGGTAACATTTAATGTTTTTGTTTGCCTTTTTATAGTCTCCTTGTGCACGTTGTGATAACGTTTTTAAAGTATCTTGCTAATAGTACATTAACATCCGAAAACTCAAATGTTTTTTGGAAATATATCGATTTAGCTACATTTTTTAGGTTACGAGTACACACACAATGAAATTCACGTACAAAATTAAAATATTGATGTTAATCATTGGCTTTCAACCTGGTATATATAAGGTTTGTAAACTGTCTGTTATTTAACAATTTGTGACTGAAGATGGTTTTTGAAGCCCTATCAAATTTAACGTCACGATACTCAAATTTCACTGAGTACCAAAATTGCACCTATTCAACATAAACAGCTGAGTGAGAATTTCTTAAAAGTTTTCTTTTAGACTAAACAATTTGTATTTTGATTATTTGACATTATACACGTCTTACAAATTAGGTGAATATATTCAAATATACATTAAATGTTCACAGTTTTTAGGAACAGATGAAGCTTTCACTGGAAAAGAAAAATGTACGAAAACGATGCCATGTGACGTTCACAAAAAGTCATATTTCAAAAATGAACAAAAAAAAATATGTTACAAGCATCCATTTAAAAAAAATAAATAGTGAGCATGTACTAATGTCAAATTGATCTAAATATTTGAAAAAATAAAACAAAACATCTGTTATTTGATTTTTTATGATGTGAATTTAAGCATGGATGCAATTTGAGTACTCCTCATTACGGAATCGCGGATAGTTTGGAGGACGATTCAAACCAATTTTTCTATGACTCAATATTGATTAAAAATCAAATTGGTGTACCTATATAATAAAGAAGGATACGGCTACAAAATAAACACAGAATGGAAATTTTTGTCTTGATCATTAAAAAAAGTAGGTGAAAAAAACTGTCAAAATAGGTGCAATTTGGGTACCTTCACGTTAACATAAAACAGTAAAACAATTTGTATGTATTTGAAAATATCAAAAATTGTATACCGCTGTTCGACTTCCCAATCAGCCAATCAGAAGACGTATAACATCCAAAATTAAATTGTTTGGTAATAACATATACAAACAGAAGTAAGTATGAACGGATATTTAAAGAAATAAAACTTAAACAAATATTTGTAAGAGATGAAAGAACCTCGTCTTTCTGTTTTCTGATTTATTTTTAAAGGAAAGCAATCTCTGATACGGACCCGTTTATTATTCAAAATGATAAAGCTGGACATGACTGAACTCGACATGAAACAGTCTCATCGGATCTTAATCGAACGTTAGAACCTCCAATCTTTTTTATCTTGACATGACTGAATGGACCATATTTCCAGGAGTGAATATCTATAATAGCCTCATCTGACTGTGTGACAAAATCTTGACATACGTGTAATCGATACATACCGTTGATTATCAGACCAGGATGACCGACTTATACTGAAATCCAGCCAGTAGTGTGGAAACCACCACGCATGCCTCTTTAAAAGAGGGACATGTCTAAAATGAAAGCCTCGGGTAGAAACATGATCATGAAACAAAAAGTTATAGCAACAAAATATACTTTGTCTGAAATTTGTATTTTGAATTAAAGAATAGAATGCTTCACACTAAAAGGCAAAAAGAACTACATAAAATATAACAAAATGATGGCACAAAATATTTGAACAACCTATTTACCAGTGACTGTCACCCAGCTTTATATTGAAAAGACTGTACAATTATTCGTTTAAAATAGAAATAATACAATTCTTCTTTTCCAGAAATTTGGAAGGGAATCAAATAACGACAATACAACAAGGAACGTTTAAAGACCTACTATCGCTCAATGTTCTGTATGTATAAAGTTTAACAATTTTTTTCCAGTAATTTTATCAAAACTTCTAGTGTCATTCGGAAGCATAGGATGATTTGTATAATGAATCAACAACAACCTCATTGCAACAAAACTCAACATGGATACCAGGTTTATAATGCAGAATTTTATACGCGCATTTTGTATACATCAGATTTATAAGTATCGCTAGAATCAATACATCTGATTTGCAAATTAAATACGGGATAGAATACTATCTTAATCGATCTGTTAAAAATCACAAGTGTACCATATAACGGTTTAGGCTGTTACTGGATGCCTAGGGATGGTGGTGGAGGCAGCTGTTCTTATTTTAAAAGTGTGTTGAACTTGCATTATTTGGCACTCGGAAAATTTAAAATTTATCACATACTCTAGTTAAGAGATGAATATGTTTCAACGGAACAAAGGAATTTAAAGTATCTTTCATTACTACGTTCATATCACTGACCTATATATTACATGTATCAGTTCTTTTCGAATTGTAAAATGTCAAACTACTTTATGAAAACTTATTCGGAAAATATTAGAAAAACGTAATTTAAAGCGAGTTGAATTAATTTTTTATTTTAATTGTACCAGTTATCAGGTTTAAAAGGTAGATTATAACAGGCTTGAATGTAAACATATAATCGTTTCCGATATCATTTGTGTTTTATTTCTTTAAACAAAATTAGGTGCCTAATGATTTTAATTTATTTTATATGTAATTTATTTTTATATTTTGCAATCTCTGCATGAACAAAATATGGGTTGCATGTAGTCGGTAAAGATCATATTTTGCCACTAAAAAACCCTGACATAATATAATTGAGCACGTACGTATTAACATGTAATTTATATGAGCCTAGCAGATCTCACTAAATTAAATTGAGGCAATTGTAGATGACCAAGATTATGTATGCTAATAATTTGCAAAAACGAAAACGTTAGTCTATAAAGAAACATCTTAGTCTTGTATGATTTTTAAACAGATACATAGGGATACAAATCAAGTACTGTTAAATACAGGTACCTAAATATTACAATAGTTTCAAAGTAAAGAAATAATACTAAATATTAAAAGTAAATATTTCAATAACTACAGATTTTAAGTACAGAAATAGTATCTTTGCAAAAGTAGCAGTGTATAAGAAAACAACTGCAATATTCCTGATTTGTTACTTAACATTTTAAGAAAAAAAAATGGCAGGTTAAACCTGGTTTTGTGGCTGTCCAAACCTCGCGTTTTATGGCAATGTTAAATATTCCGCTAAAACTGACAAAAAGCTGACATAAATTTGATATACAATGTACAGAAAAAGAAATGTTAGAGTGTATGCAGTGATTTTTTTAAAGCTATGATTCAATAAATAAGTATTGTTTTGAGAAAAAGTGTTTTTCAAGAGTTTTAAAACCAAATTATAAAAACATTATAATCAACAATAAGTAGTCGAAGTTTTCCCAGCAAGTATTATTTGGGAATTTCAAAAGGAATTTTACACACCGGACACACCGGTCTAAGAAATAAAGATACTTAGGCTCTCGTTTTCTATATAATTTATTTTGGTTTTTAACGAGTCTTGACAGTGGAAAACTTACACTAACGTTTCAGATACGAGTTTTTATCAATCTTTCACTGGTCAGAAAAACAAAAATATATACTTTGCATTCAAAATTATGCACACGTTACATAGTTAACAGAGTAAAAGAGTGTGACAAAACCCAGGAAATGGTATTGATGAAGAGATTATACAAGCGAAGGTCAACATGCTTTACGAAAAATGGCTTTAATCCTCACGGTGACCTATAGTTGTTAATGTCTGTATCATTTAGATACTTGTGAGAATTTGTCTCATTGGCAATCACACCACATCTTTTTATATTTAGATCACATTCTTAAACATTGTTCAATAATGTCTACAATAAGATAAACAATTGACAGACTATTTGAAAGGGTTCACAAAACGGAAAATAAACTGACCACGCCATAGGTAAAAATGAAAAAAACACAGGCAAATATACAAATAGCAGCAAACGAATCACAACCAAAAAAGCTAAGCATATGTTAAAACAAACCAAACCAAAATGTGGGCTTATCTCAGGTGATCCTGTAATGACGACAGTTGTAAGGTTATATAAATTGTAAAGGTGAATACTTTATTTTGTAAGCCTTGATTCAAGAATAATATTGAGTACTAAAAACTTCTCTTCTTACCTTAAGCTCCTAATATCGCATCTACACATTGTGGCTTTGGTCTGTTGAATTTTTGTCAGTTCAAATAAAACTGAGGCAAAATCTAATGCTTCTTATTTTTCATTATGCTTTTTTTAAGGCTCTTTTGGGACTTTGTGATACAGTTTTGTAAGTATCGTGCTACTTATACAAACGATGATTGAAACAGTTTTGCTTCGAAAGTTCCTAATGAATGCAAATCAAAAAAGCACCTCGATTTGTTGTTATAATGAAAACAATCCTAATGATATAATGCAGATTGCAATATAAAAACACACATTGGAATACAATTGTTATATTTTAAAGATATATATAAATGATACTTGCAGACAAATCACACAATGAGTATTTAAATCCCTCACGACTTTTCACAAGCTTTAACGATACAACACTACGATATATCCTACACTACCAAAGCATTACTAGTTTTATTTTTCAGAGTGTTGAAAGGCAGAAGAACAATTACTTCAATACAAAATGGAGCGTTTGAAAACCTACCGGGATTACAATCTCTGTTTGTATACAATTTTACAATAATTTATGCGATTGCAGACAAGTCATTCGCTGGCAGAGTTTGCTGACTCAAACATAACTAATGAATGAACATCAACCAACATGTGTTCACTGAAGTCTGAAGTATAGTAACACACGCGTGATGATAAAATGCATATATTTTAAATTTAAATGTTTCAAGAGAAATAACATCTTTGTTTAAATTGCAATGACCTCAACGATTAATATAGCTGAATTTCTCTGAAAATATACATGTATATTTCAAAAGAAAGACAGCTATTCGGAAACAAACAAGAAAAACATCTTGACATGCATATAGTGATTTTATGTTTTCCATTTAGCATGTTTAGAGAAAGGCAAAAAGACTTTAAAAGCATGTACACAATTTCATTATAATAGCAAGAAAAGTATATTGGGTATACATCCTTGACACAAAACCAATTACATGCACACACACAAAAACACACAATATCTTAGATGCAGGGGTTCTTATCTGGCTGAAAATGATAAAGATTTGCATTAGATGTTATAACATAGTTGGACTAAATTTGCGACGAAGAATATAATAATATAAAACGTCTACGTGTTAGTCAATTATCCTTTTTACGATGGCGCTTAAAGATACTCGACACTGACTGATGTTGGGTTTTATCGTCCAGCTATCTTGGTTGCTATGCGGACTAGAATAACATATTCTTGCAGTGTTGGATCTGCTGCTCTCTTCCCTTTCATCTTGCTCCGACCTGTTGTTTGATGTTGGAACGGAGTGTCTGTTTGTTCAAGTAAGGCAATGACAGTTTGAATGGCCTCTGGATCTGGCATGGATATCGGCGAGGTATGACGTGGTGTGCGAAGTAGGTCGGGTCCATCGATGTCAAATCCCTCTGTGAAGTCTATCCTAAATTAAAATTCTTTCGAGATGCATATCTATGCAATCTCTGTGTAACTTGCGTCCACTTATAGTTAGACAGATTGAATTGTTTGTTCGTTGAATATCCATATTTTGCATGAATTTTTACGTATTATTTTAAAATCAACCCCATCTACTATTTTAAGTCTTTAAATAATATTTTATCATCTATTGAATGATGTTAGCGACAACAACCTTTTTAACGTGATACATGTACCAATAACTTGTAATCAAATGCAATCTTCTCAAAATGAGAATTCCTAACGACTTATATAAAATTAAGTCTGAAAATATCTCTAGATAATGAATTTTAAAGCGGGTTAAAAAAAATTTTTTGTTTAATTTAAAAAGTAAAGAAAAATGATTTTTCCGTTTTCAAATTTTGTGAAGACACAAATTATGACAACACTTTAGCCTCGATATTTCTGATAGTGTCAGAATAATCACTTTATTAATAATCTGCTTTCAATATTTAAAAATAAAAAAAAAGGATTTTCAAAAAAAGAGAAGAATGGATGTACGTGATCTTATGACATAGAAAATTAGGAGGGAATCTCGATAAACACGTGATATTTAAAATTAAAGAGTTCCACATCATTTTTACATTAGCTGGAAATTGCAAATTTGTCGAAAAATACAGAGTATGGTTACAGTATTAATAGCATTGAAATACCTAAGATTGAGCGTTGTATTTTGCAAAATGTCTTAGATGACAATATTAGGCTCTCATTAAGATCATTCATTGAGTTATGTACGTATGTTATTTTATTGAAAATCACTATAATTGTAACAAACAATTATAATTATTTCTTTTCAGAGTATTATCTAGCCAAAAAATAACTACAATACACAAAAGAGCATTCACAAACCTACCAGCGCTCATTTCTATGTATGTATACAGATTTAAACATGTTTTATTCAAAAGCAGAAAAACACATCTTCAGTCAATCAGGGAAAGGGTATGTTACTAATTTCGTATCGTATGATGCAGCATCGACGTACAATGTTTGCACTGCAAATTGCAGTACGGAAACACACATTATTGGATACATTGTTTAGCTTAAAAACCTATTTGCAGATGATAAATCAAGAGAAATGACATTGTTGTCATTAACTCCCAGTGGTACATTTAGTACCATAACTAGCAACTTATGTAAAAAGTATTAACTTTGAAGGCAATAGTTTAAAGGTAAGATTATATTCTGTTTCTATAACAGGAGTACTGCTTGGTAGTCGTAATTGCGTTCTAGGTTATCTGTGCTGATGTTGGGTCCTTTTAATAATTTCAAAGTTTTGCTTGTGTTCATTTTAGTCGTTTGACTTTTAAGATATCTATCAGATTTCATGATTTTGGCAATTTTAATGCAGGTGTAATTTATGAAAATGATAGAACTCTGCTGAAGAACACTCAGTTTCAGGATTATTAAGTTAACTCGCACGGCAATGCTTATCAAATGCTCGAAGTAATTATATAGTTTCAGAGCTAAATATCGAAAAATTAAAAAATATACGAAATGAATCATCTGATATAAAACATACTTGCACTCGGCGTCAATCGTTCCTATGTGAAGGTGAATCAAGAGCAATGCATTTTTTCTCCTTGTTGTTTCGTTTTAAAAAAAAAATAAATCGAAAAACAACATTGTTTAATACGGTAACTTTTACAAACCTTAGTTTAAATGTTAATATGAAATGTTTATCATAAAAAAAAACAGGCTTCATCAATTTAATTATCTTTATTCACCCAATATAAGTTGCTATTATGTAAATATAGATAAAATAATTCCCCATATTTCGTAAAAAAATTATATCCTATTAAAAGAAAGTTCATATGTGCTACAATTTTGTTTCAAAGATTAAAATATAAGGCTGTGCGGCATATTTTCAATATTTATATACCCCAAACTTCTAAGAGTTTAAACGTATACTAAACTTATGTATTACCTCTGTCTCCACTTTTGGTCCTCCTTATATTTCAATTTTGCCGCTATCTATTTGTATTTATACTGGTAACATTCCTAATTATGTCTAAATGAGATTAAACATACAGATCATTGGAACCAGTACATAAACAAAACAAAATATCTACGAAAATTATATTTCTCCAAAAAGAGGCGTGGTTTGTAAAACAGCTGTATTTACAAAGTGCAACCTCAAAAGTTTTAAATTCAACACATAAACGAGATCTTTGAATCTTGTTTTTATTGGTATTGATATTGATTTTGTTATCAGTATATTAAAATCAAACTAAATATAATTTTCATATTATGCACATGAATAGTTTGTTTTCCGTTCATTATTTTGTATATAAATCAGACAGTTAATTTTCTTGTTTGAATTGTTTGACATTTTCATTTTGGATCCTTTATATAATTGACTATGCAGTATGGATTTAACTCATTGTGCAAGGGCGAACAGTGACCTGTTGTTGTTAATTTTTCTTTTAATTTTCATATTAAGAACACAGCTATATTATGCACATGTTTAGTCTTAATTTATAAAATTTATTTTGAAAAAAGTATCAGCATTAATTACTAGCTGATATTGTCTCAAAAAATTGTATACCACTTATATGTACAATATTGACAGCGTTTACATTTAAATCGTGATCAAGTCTTTACACCTAGATTCTTCATCAAAGATTTGCACAAAGATAAAGCAATACAAAATTGCACCCTGCCTTGCTATCGAATATAGTATATATATAAAATATAGAAAGAAGGGGCAATTATATTTATCATTAAAGGCTCAGACAATTTAAATGTTGCTTTCTGATTCAAACAACTATCACTGACCTCTTTTAAATCTTAAGTTCTATAATGGAATTTGATGCGACTGTCATACAAGTGAGAGGTTTAGCTAGCTATTAAAACAGGTTTAATCCACCATTGTTTACATAAGAAAATGCCTGTACCAAGTCAGGAATATAACAGTTTGTTATCCATTCGTTTGATGTGTTTTATCTCTTGATTTTTATTTTGCAATTTAATTAGGGACTTTCCGTTTTGAATTTTCCTTGGAGTTCAGTATTTTTTTTAATTTGTTACCCACCGGCCAATGACAGGCGTTTTAAATAATGTTGATTCAACGCTTCTGTTTTAAAAACAATCCAAAATGGCAACTCAAATTGTAAGCACCGGAAGTGGTAGGTCATTACAATGATTTCTAGGGTACAACTAAAATGATTTCGAGCATAATTTCAACTGAAACCAACGAAGATATTTCTCATCTATTGGATAGCTTAAGAACATATGTTGACAGATCAATGTATGACATTCAGAACATTATTAAAGGAATTTGTACTCCAAGTAAGTTCAACGCTGATAATGTACAATAAGAAACACTTAAAAATCAATTATACACTACTTTGCATAGCATATTTCCTTTAAATAAGATATCTATCACGTATTATAATTTAGGCGTAATAACAACACAAAAAGTAATGTTCAAAAAGGGGATGGACGGTATTCAAGTATTACATTTAGATTATTGAATATGTGTTTATTTGATATATAACTAATATGTGAGTTTTATACTTGAAGTGATAGCGACACTTTAAGTCGCCATATATTGCATTGCCAAAAGTGACACGCCTACGATTAACATTTGATTTATACCACATACAAAAACATAAACAGAAGAAATGGAGTGGCAGCAACACAAATGGCAATTGCTTTAACGTTTTGATTCAAGGAAGGATTCCTTCACAACAAATAACTAAATCAATTGTCGTAACATGATAACCACTTCAGTCAACAAGCTTGAGAATGAAAAGACCAGAGCAATAAATCATATGCGATAACAATAATATCATTAATCTTTTTTAGACATTTACAAGGCAATCAAATAACTAAAATCGAACAAGGAACGTTTGAAGACCTTCCAGCTCTCAATTATATGTATGTATACAGTTTAACAATATATCCTTCAGAACTATAATTAAAAACATATAGAGGCATTTAATGGAAGAGTATGTGTATTGCTATGAATGAACAAATCCTAACTGCTTCAAAAACATCATAGATATCAAGTTTATGGTTCAGAATGCAAGAAGCGAATTTTGTCTACATCAAAATCATAAGTAGAGCAAGAATCAAGCAGCTTGTAGGCAAAATTTGATACGGGATATTCCATGTTCATTGAAAATTCTAAATTAAGTGCCAAAGACGGATTCCTGGCGGCGAACACAGATCTTGAACAAAACCTTTGTGTTTTCAATAATTGAAAATCTTAAAGACAGTCTAATTGTTGACAAGAACTTATCACTGATAGTTCAGGTCAACACCAATAAGCAGACTGATGATGGGGTAATTCCCAAGGGATCTGAAACGTTCATCAACATTTTCGTGGACGTAGATAGTTACCAGACGGGCGTTTCGTCAGTTTATATGGAGATTACAGTAGAAAGAAAACAAGTGCTACGAGTGTTAAAATTACTGTCACAGTGGATTATTCAGGAAAATACACTCACAAAAGTAAAATCAATATATACATATGTTTAGGCTTCTCGGGGTACAAAATCCTTTCACATGTTTAGCATTTGGTTATTTGCATACATTTAATAATTCCATATTTTTGACACCTTTATTCTATAGTCCTCAGCTTTTCAAATCATCAGGAATGGTTAAGCTCTGTCACTTGTTAGAAATTGAAAATTTTAAAATTATTATATCACTTTACAGAGATTGTATGTGTATGCACTCCTTTATTTCCTGAATTTGAAGTAATTGGGAGATATTGACAAACTTACTTACATTTTAAAGTTGTTATATACCTTTTTCAGAAATTTGATGGGAAACATATTGAAATTTGTCAGGAATGACACTTTTGCATATAACATCAATTTACACACCCTGTAAGTACAAATTTTACATCGAACGACTTATAATCATTTTGTCAACTGAATTGTTATTGCATTATTGTATTATGTTTCTTTTGTCGACGTTAATTATGGATATGATGAAGTACAGTTACACATCCAGTACATTTGAAAAAAAATATTATTTGTATCACTTAAAATATAACCCCTGGTTTTACAAATATTATTAATTTGCAAAAAAATGCATGTTATTTTATAACATATTTATGGATATAGTCGAATGAATTTGTCTGTTAGACGTATAAATGTTAATTCTTGACTGAAATATTTGTCTTTTCTTGTAATGTGATACAGTTAAATATCGGTATTAACAGGCGTATGTCTATGCATACGCGTTTACAAAAACAATAAAGATATTCAATATTTGAAAATTAAAAAAAAGGAAACGTTTTTTTTCCTTTCCACTTTGGTGATGGTGATCACACTATGTAATTGATACATGTATCATGTGCACAAGTATATTCATTTGTATTGTTCCTTAAAAGAGGGACGAAAGATACCAGACTGACCGTCAAACTCATAGGATTCTCACCCATTACATAGTAACATAGCTAAATTGAATACCCTTTATCATGTCTGTGTGTTATATATCCAACACATCCGTGTTCTTTTTGCTGACTTTTGTGTTACCCTAACGTAGTAATTTTCAAAACATAGTCATAATAATGAGCCTATACTACAGTAAAAAGTTAGAAAACATATTCAGGTTCAACCCACCATTTAATAGTTATTTTTTATGTAGGTTGCTTTGTCTTTTTTTATGCACACCAGGTGTTCCTGTTGTCTCGATGTTTTCCTCTTATATTTTATGTGTTTCCTTCGGTTTTAATTTGTAACTCTCATTTTGTTTTATCTCAATCGATTTATGACTTTGGAACAGCGGTATACTACTTTTGACTTTATATACATTAATTAACTATTTCACGTCTTATCATCAATTTTATGATCAGGCTTCTTACATTAGTCTGTGATTGTAACGTTCCCTTTTGGTCCTGGCTGAAATCAAAATCGTTTACTAGTGAGAGTGTAGTCTGTGTCGACCGGAATTTTCTACTGTCAAGTCTTCAAGCAAGCGATTTTGATAATTGTACCTGTAAGTATTGTGTAAAAATTGATAAACAATGATAATATCATTATAAGAGTCGAGATGGGTATTAGTTCTTGATTTAACATACTTCAATTAATACTTATCTTAGATATGTAAAATACTGTCTCATGGATTCGTATTTTGTTTGACATAATGACAATCTTAAAGCGAGATAAAGATACAGAGTGCGAATGTTTAGAATTGTGAAGTGTTAGCTAGTGGTTAATATGTAAGTTGAAAAAAAGAAAGTCTGTTGTTTTCGTTTAAAAAAAATTGTTCAATAATCATATGACACACGATTCAAAAAGATGGTTATAAGATGTTTTAAAAATGTAAATATTGAGGTGACTCGTAACTATGTCCAAGGGAATTATCAATAATAAATAAGATGGGTATGATATTAAAATGAAACTCCTATTTGGAAATACAACATATGTTTCATGAACAAAATTAAAAAGTTAATTACAATATATATAATATAGTGCCTAGAAAATCAAGAAGATCTGATTATTTTCTTCTTTCGTTTAATCTAACTCGTATGTCAACTCCGTTTAACATTACATAGTTTTCCGCAGATACCTTCAACCTATTGATATTCATAATTTCATATTGTGTCATACATGTGTGCTTTAAGAAATAAAACTATGCATTCTATACAATTCTGGTAAATTATTAAACAAGGGATTTCGTTACCACAAATTACCCAAACCTTTACTAAATTCTGCCATAGATATAAAGATTTAGTTTTGAAGTTTGGTTGTACCGGTAGAAAACTTATTTCAAGCAGTATAGCACATCCTCATTTTTACGGATATGTTGTTAACCATACCTGAAATTTAGAAACGATTCTGGTAAACTTATCGATTCTTCAAATAAACTAATGTTATCTTGAAACTAGCTGTAAGTAAATGTGATTTTTTATGATGTTTTTTTTTCTATTTGTATCAATATGATGAGTTACGCCCTGTTCAACTGATCTTTATAGTTCGTTATGTTGTTGTTCTGTTACGCCACTGTCCCAGGTTAGTGGGAGAGTTTGGAATGTGCCTGTCCCAAGTCGGGAGCCTGTAATTCAGTGGTTGTCGTTTTACTGATGTGCTACATTTTGTTTTTTTTGTACATATATGATAAATTGGGGCGTTAGTTTTCTCGTTTGAATTGTTTTACATTTTATATTTCGGGGCCTTTAATAGCTGACTAGCGGTATGGTCTTTGTGCATTGTTGAAGGCCGCACGGTGACCTATAGCTGTTGATTTCTGTGTCATTTGGTGTCATTGGCAATCATACCACATCTTCTTTTTTATATAAAAATAGATTCATTTTGATTTTTTCCAGTCATAGACTGGATGCTTAATCTTAACACACGTTTTAATGCAAAATATCACATACACAGACATTCATTTTGGTAAACAATTTTCTCGTTAAGAATTTGTCGGTAACTAAAAAACCCAACAGGTGTGTTTTAAAATGGATCGATCTTCTAGGTCAAATGATGTCGTAGTAATATGTAATAACAAACAAAAAATTAAAATAACACTTTCTAAATCCCAAGTGTTACAAACCTTTCCTGAATCAACCTCATCCAGGAACGCTCACTGAATATTTGAACTTTAAGGATGTATAAGACCGAAATACAATATTACGAATTGCTATATTACCAGGAAATACCAAAAACTGATGGGCAAATAAATATACGTTTCATTTCGGCTAAGTAAGATGAAACCGTAATTTCTTATTAATTACGAGATTAGTAAACATTTAAAAAGAGTTGTTGTAAAGCATTCCAGTACGGAAGTACTGACCACTGAGCCCCGTGGACTGGTTATCAGTAGTATCAGCTCAGTCCGAAAAAAAAATGAAAAATATAGATTATATCACTTATTTTTTACTTGAATTAACACAATTAAGAAAGGTTCAACAAAAAACACAAAGCAAGAGCCACAAACCACTATAATTCTAAAACTGTTCCAGACCAAATGAGTTTTCGGACCATACCCGTGTGGCTATGACTTATGCGTATACTCTCATTTTGTCGGACCATACGCGTATGGTTTGGTCTTGGTTAATATTACGATGAATATTGAAAATTAGCGTATTCTATTACTTACATAAGCTATGCATATATTAACGGCCCTTGAAGCTGTCATTTATGAAGAATTTCGGAAGACACAATTTCTATTTATTAAGTAAACATTATAGCAATGACTGTAAGCGAATTAGGATATAACTGTATTTTAAGCTCCGACGGCATCAATTAGTGATTTGATGGTCACAAACAAAGTTTAAGCGACACCAGTAGCGACCCTCATATCACTAATTGATGCCGTCGGAGCATATATTACAATATTGTTATCTATATTCTAATGACAGTGATAGAAAACAACGTTAAAACATACATTTAAAACCTGTCAAACGTCGTCTGATCTTGCGCGTACGTTTTCATAGCAGCAAGTGTGAATTGATGCCATGAAAGTTAGTGACATTTTTCAATCGAAATGAACATACGCGAAAGGTCCAAATTATCATATGATCAAAAACATTACCATAGTCATTCAATGCAATTGACATATCATTTTTTTTAAATGTACACTTTATCTATATAGATAAATCCAACATATTCGGACTGCATTTTTAAGTGTTAGATAAATGTTTTATCGTTTTACACAGACAATGCTTGTCAGTATACTGATTACTGTTCAAATGGAGGATCTTGTAGTCAGGACAGTAATGGTAATCTAACATGCTCCTGTGTTGTTGAATGGACAGGTGCTACATGCACAGGTAAGACATACAAAAAACCTATGGTTGTATGGCATGGACAATAATACGGATGTACAAGTTTACTACATCAATACATATTGCGTTAATTTAATAAGTACAGGGCAAGGTATTTTTAATCGTTTCAACAAAAAGTACATCACTGTGATGTGGAAGTGGTATGGTTGTATATGAAGCAGCAATAAGTTAAATACAAGATATAGATTATTTCTACAATTACTTTGTCATTTTTTATTTCAAAACCGTGTTATTTTTTGAAGTGGCTTTACTTGAATCTTAGGCTCTTGCTTATATAGCAATTTACATTTCGTGACAAAAAGTTGATAAACTTTAGTGTTTGCCCATGCGAAAATTAAAAAAAAAAATGCTCTATTAACGATTGGTCCACTGATGGTATAACATTTTTAGTATTTTTCAATATGACAAATTATGACAGGATTAATATTTTGTAACATATTTTATCATTTGTACCATTACTGGTCACTGATTAATAGCTTCATATTTTTCAATACATAAATTTACGTCATTTGGACTATGGTGGATAGTTGTCCAACTGGCAATCATGCCACATGTTCTTCTTTTGATATAACAAAATCTTGGTTTCAATTTCATATCTTTATTATTGGAATATTTAATCCCCCAATCATTGCAATGTGACCATCACACTTGGGTTTTGTTTATTGTATGACAATATACCGTAGGCTTTATGTCTCTTTGAAAAATTGCAAGGCAATGCAAAATGGTCTTTAGGTTTAAATTCATTTTTAATATAAGTTGGCTTTTTCTCTGGAAATCACTCTCGAAAATGCGAAAACGTTTAATGTCAAGATAACTTTATATTTAAACATTTATATCATGCTTCACGAAAATTGATACCCAACGAATACAAGTACTTTCACAGTATGCATTATACTGACCATGTTGCATGCAATGTATCAATTTTTGGCTTGGACGTTACTGATAGTATTTGAAATTGATGCAGGATATTCTTTAATGAAAAAGAAACCAAACAACAAAAGCAAAATCATTAAAAACATCGAAACGTCAACATAATGTATTCAATTGTACACATTTGTGTCAGTTTGAAAACAGTATAATACAGTTCAATGTTATTATACAACCAAGACCTGTATAAAAGGTTTTCCATCAGCAAAACATAATGAATATCGTATATCAATATCATCGGAAATTCTTCAGTTTGTCTTTTCTCGTAACTATTGCTAAAGTAAACATAGTGGTTACTATAGCAACTAATTACAAATTTGTTTCATAGCTGAGAATCTAAGCAAAACGCTTTTTGTTTGTTTTTTTCACATATGTATAAAGCCTATGAAACAGTTAATTTGTCAAATAATCATCAGTATACTTCGTCACTTCATCATTCAGCAGGACCATTTAACAGCTATGCACTTATATGAAAAACCATTGAAACCTGTGCATTTTTATTTTAATTATTTTCTCTCTTTTGGCATGTTTATAGTTCGAAATAAAGTTCTAGATCGTTAAATCATGTAATCAAGTGAAGACTTGTTGCAACAGTTAGAAGAATGTTACTAGCATTTTTTGTTACTTGTAATTTTTGTAGCTGTATCACTCCTCATAATTTTTCAAGGAAGTAACTGAATATATCTAAGATCAGATTATTGAGTTTATTGTACATATACCTCTCTAATCTTTCCCATTTTGTTTTTCGATACTGCTTTTTCATACTTCTTTATGAGTGTAGCTGGTTTGCCAAGAAGCGCACATCTGTATGGTCACATCTTTTTCATGCCACAAATTAAAATCAATATTCAAATTGCTGTACTACAAGACATATTTGAGTCTTCAATATACTTTTACTTACCAAATGTAGAATCTGCAAATGATTGCGTAGAAAATATGGACAACTTTCATACTAATTGGAATAAAACAGCAGAAAGCACACTGGCTACTTTAGTCTGTACTGGTGAATACTCAGGTAATGCCTCAAGATACTGCAGTAGCGATGGAAAGTGGGAGAAACCGAACTACAGCAATTGTATAAGTAACTCAATACAACATATCAAAGAACAGGTAAACCCTGTATATACTATGACAATATGTTTCTTTCATACATGTACATGGTTTATTTCCGATATTTACAGCATATAAAGAAATTGTAGACTCTTTGTTGAAAGTTTCTTTTTAAATATACAAAAAATAATACAGTCAAACCTCGTTGTGTCGAACTCGGTTGTGTCGAAAACTCGGATGAGTCATAGTAACTTCTCGGTCCAGGTTAAATTCCCGTTTGATCAATGCATAATTACCTCTGATGAGTCGAACTCGGTTGATTCGAATACTCGGTTATGTCGGGTAAATTTTATAGTCCCGTCGATATAAAATTAATGTAAATTGACCCCGATGTCTCGAAGTTTGAAAGTAAGAATTTTCGAAAGATGCAGACCTAATGATAAAAACTCAAATCGGATGTAATTCTTATGTAACCTAATCATTTTCAAAAGAGATTAAAGCTGAGTAAACATACTTGTTTGTATAACAGTTAAATTGACATGTTTATGGTTGCCGGTAATTAACACCTTTGTTGATTGTTCAAGCGGAACTTTAGTGTGTTGATCATATTTCACATGAGATAAAAAACGAATTTAAATGACACTAGCCGAGATTAAATCAATCGTTAGAATTAAGACTCATTAATTACAATAAATGAAGGATTAAGACAATTATGATAAATTCAAGATAATTTAATGCACAGCAGACACCCTATTCAAAGACCGTTCGGTACTTATTTCGTTCCAAGAATGATTTCATAATTTTTAGTGACTGACCTTTATAAATATTTGTGTAGACTATTGATTTTAGTTGTGCATGATTTGTATCTGTTTTTGTGTGCTTGATTATTATGAAGGACCAACAATGGCGATTGCATACACATTATAATGTGTGTCATATCGAAAAAAGGCTCACTGTTCAAAGTATCTAGTTTACGCAAATCTCATACCGTATTTCTTGCATTACAAATTTTTGACGACACACTCGACCTCGGATGAGTCGAACCTCGGATGAGTCGAATACATTGGTCCGGTCCCTTCGACTTCGACACACCGAGGTTTGACTGCATGTGTAATCAAAACACGCGGGCATACCTTCCCTGTTGCTCATGGCAGAAGTTCTTGTTTTCTTAACTACCACATTTCAGGGAACTAGTACACTCTAAGATGGTATAATTAGTGCATGTTGTATCATTCATCAGAAGTCAAGATAATTTATAGTTTTGACATGAAATGACTCCTACAAATCAAATAAAAAAATATAATTGATATCAAAGAATCAAAGGGGTACTCACTAGCTGTCAAATACACGTTCACCGATTTAACTCAAGTTTTCAAATATGATTTATAACAATGTAAAACATTTCTCAAAATTAAAAAAAAAGTCTAAAACAAGCAACTTACAGGGCATGGGTTCGATAAAATGTAGCTTCGTTTCGTGTGTTTTTTAGTCTAGCCGCCATCTAATTTACTATCGAGTTGACCTCCGATGGCCATATAAGCGATATAAACATAACATAGGTATAACTCGTGTAATTAGATTTTTCCAGGTTTTTTACATTTTATATTATAGATTAAAATAAATGTTAATCATCGTTTAATTTTACCTGTATAAGAATGATTTTTTGTGGATCGAACAAGTCAATACAATGATTTACCTTTGTTTCACTTTCAATGTTGACATTCTGTTCCTTTAAATAACCGAACACGGACAATGCATGCGTTATCCATTTCTAGCTATGGGGTTAAATTGAAGTTCACATCAATATGGACTCAATGAGGTCGAATTATTCACTTGGCAAAATTGGATCAAACTGGCTGCTAAAAGCGAATGATTATTTCACTATTTCACTTTCATTAATGATCGAACACAAAAACATCGTATTTTAAATTTTTTCTATATATCGTAGCTAGTGCCCCTTTAACATTTATTTAAATGGGGCTGTTCGTTAGTGGTATTATTCGTATAAATTCATATACATTTACTAGTAATTTTAACACTGACAACTACATGATGTTCTTTCCATTGAAAAAAAAATAATGAATACATACATTGTATATCACTAAAGAAGTTATGTTTATCTCACAGACACATAACTTAATGTGTAGTATCATTGTAATGTGCAGGTCTAGATTTATAAACAAAATTCAGCATTATTCCAAGGTGAATTCAATAGTGGGTTGCACATATGAATTTTTGTATAATCAAATAAACTCATCATAAATACCAGGATTAAAATTGTATATATGGGCCAGACGCAGATTTCGTCTTGAAAAGACTCATCAGTGACGCTCGAATAAAAAAATGTTACAAAGGCGAAATAAAGTACGTAGTTGAAGAGTATTGAGGACCAAAATTTCTAAAAGTTTTGCCAAATAAAGCTAAGGTAATCTATTCCTGTGTTAGAAAAGCCTTAGTATTTCAAAAATGCAATGTTTTGTAAACAGTTAATGTATAGTTCTTACCATATCAAGCTGTTGATTTATAATAACCATAACTCGTTGAATTAACCAAAATTTTTCAATTAGTTGTGAAAGTTTACGATTTCAGCTGAAAGCTGTTGACATGAATTAAGTTCAATACAATTAGAGTAATTTTTTTCAAATCTTGATATGTTCTTATCACGACAGAACACTCTCATCAAACGGTCTGATTCTTTATTGAACAAGACTATTAACTCGTGTCATTTCCTCACTTACCTATCATTTAAAAACAGTATTCTAAAGAGTCATGGAATTAGTTGCTTGACATATTGTTTATATATACATGAACTTGTTTAATGTTAACAGTTGTTAAAAAGGTGTATGTTTAGATTTTTGTTGTTAATGCCTCTTTCTTGTTATACATATGTCTCATGTTTCGTTTTATATATGAAATGACAGTGTTATGTCTTTCAAATCTTAATTCGAATTATACCTGTCTAACAATGTTGTATCTATAGCTCATAATATATAGTTTAAACATATTTATTTTTTTGCAACTTATATTAATCCCTTTCCACTTTGCGGGTGCGAGTTCTGCCTTGTAGCGGCATTAGCCTGCTCTTTTTCGAAATCTACAAGAGTGTCTTTAACGTGCAAGAGATATGGCTCTCTCTTAACACGGGTCAGTCATTTATCGTCCCCTTCCGACGGACTATCATCGTTTCCTCAAGACCATACTCGCAAATGGTGTCAAGGGGGAGCCAAAAATTCAGTCCCTGAAATTTTCATCCGGAATGGGAATCGAACCAGGAACCTTTGTGTTAGTATATCTAGTTTATCAGTGTCGATGTAGTGGTACAGATGTTTCCAATTAATTAATACCCCTTGTCTCGGTAACTATATTTTTTTTTTATCTAATTGCAATGCTTCAAACGAAGTACATAGTGTTTAGTATTTGAACCCTTCCAATTACTTGTGCCTTTACATATTCAGTTTCTTATTTGCGTTGATAAGTATATTAACAAAACACTGGCGTTGATAACTAAAAATACAAAGTAGAACACAGAATACATTTTACTGATAATGCAAAACATATATTTTTCCACCATCATGTGTTTGTGGATTGTTGATAGGCCGCCGATTAAAATATTTAACTAGTTCCAGGGAGACAAATAACCCGAACGCCAATGAATTTAAAAGAGCATATGTGGAACCCTACAATAACATAAATGTTAAACATATCATTCCTCCGTGCAAGAAAGGAATTGACGGAGAACCCTCCCCCTATTTTTACACAAACATATACAAGAACAACAATCCCTCCGAGTTTTTGTTATTTGCAAACAACCTGCATTACGTGTACTGCAGAGATGACATCTCCCTTCTGTTAAAAATGGATGAGATTCTTCTCGATGGCAATAGTGAACACTAGAAAATAATTTGATACCCTCCCACATAAAGTCTGTGAGGTAGAGACATGTGCCAGAGGGAGAGAGTTATAAGTCCGTTTATTGTCTCCCTGAACCGCCTCTTAAAAGATCTGCGACTTCCCAGTTTCATGGCTGAATCTAACAAATTAACACTAAGATATGTATAATATAACATTTTGTTTTAATGTGTAATTCCCGCGTATACGACTCTAAGTTTATAAAGTCTTACATAAATTGTTGATGTCTAATCAGCACTATATGAACAAAACCAACCATAATCAACACTATAAAGTCAATCTTTCTCCACATCACCTCAGTATAAAAGTTCATCAAATCATCAACATCCTTCACGTAGCGTAGAGCTGAAAAATAAAACAAACTGGCACAGCAGTAACATTCTAATAATAATTATAATATTCTCTACATGCAATGATACGTACAACTTAAACTATATACGATGTATAATCAAAATGTTTGTATATAGTTAAACAGGTGCTGCAATTAAGATTTTAGTATAACGAATGAGAATATTCAAGAAATAAAACCACGTGATAATAGTCATTCTAAACGAACAGAGGCGTTCCTTATGTGTGTCAACATCATTTAACGTAATTGATTAATAATATATTGTAAACAAAAACAACGTACATGTACGCCAGTGTCTTCATTAAATTAAATTATCTAATATACACGACTTGCTATTATTCGAGGTACCATAACGAGTTCGAGTTCTGATAAGATGATATACTTTTAAATGATTTACGTCTTTTCTTGGATTGCAAATTGCTATTTAATGTACTTTTACATTGGTATTTTCAAATCACTTTAGACAGTTAAGTTATTGTCTGGGGACAATAAAAATGATCCTGTGACCATTATCCTGCACGATCTAGAAAACATTACAAGAGATAATGATGAATTACGGTCAGGTGATCTGCTGACGTCATCAACTGTACTGAATGATATTGCCAAGTACGTTACAAACCACACAGAAGACCATTCAGTTGATCAGATAGAGGTGTGTTATTTTGGTTATAAATAAAGTATGCAAAATTTTCACATGGAACAGTAAATTTCAAGATTTATTCATTCTTACCAGAATTCTCTTAATGTTAATATTTGTAAATTAATAGAAATATAGAGTAAATGGTAGTGAAATGTCAACTTTGTATCTAACAATTTCTAATTTAATCTATCTATTTAATCAAAGTCATCTGTTTTGTTTCAGATCTTTGGATCTCTATGCGACAATTTACTTGATGAAAGAAACCATCAGTCGTGGGAAGAACTTAACAACGAGGTTTATATTTTTCCTTATAATATATATTGAGATAAGGAAAGCATTATCACATTCTCCCGTTTGTTATTCTGTCATAACGTTTTAAAACACTTACACAAGTGTCTATGTGTCGTTATTTTGTAAGTCGTAAATGGTTATGTTTTATTAAAGAAAGATACCGATCTCAGTTTCATAATCAGGTTCATATAATGTTAATTGTAAGTTGCAAATATTCATTTTTATGTTTTAGAACACTTACAACTTAGTTAGATTATTTGCATTCACCAGGAATGCTGAAACTAAAAAATTGTAAATCAATTATGTTATATCTAAACTGTTCAGTATTTGTTATTCTTAAAAATTACTCAGATTTAAACAAAAAATTCTATGAAATAAACAAGATCGCCTACATATTTGTTCCGTTTGGAGTACGTGTTATTTTCAACTAGCAGTCGGCATCAAGCTGGAAACCAACTGTGGTCCTCTTCTTTTCGACTTGTTCATTTATTCATATGAGGCTGACTTCACAAAGGAACTTTTAAGGAGGAAATAAAATAAGTAAGAAATGTCCTTAAACTTTACTAACCGCTATATAGATGATGTTCTCTAACTTTTTATTCCAAAATTATTGAGTGTGTTAAATGCATATATTTCTTACCTGCCTCATACCATCACTTCCGTCCAGAAATGAGTTTTGGCTGAAAACAAAACTTTACGACAAAAGATATTTTCAGCTTACCTATTGTGAAAGTTCAATTTCTATGTTACAACATTAAAGCAGCCCCTGCATACGGAGTATAAATTTCCCAGTTGATACAACATACCAAGGCTTGTATTATGTATCATGATTTCCTTGATAAAGGGTTGATACTCAGAAGTGAAGCTATCAAACCAAAAGATTAGGACTAGAATGGTCAGTTTTCCTATCTAAAGTCGGTGGTTTTTTCCGGGCATTCCGGCTTCCTCAACCAATATAAACTGGCCACCACGAAATAGCCCAAAAGAGGTGCTTAAAAGTGACGTTAAACACCAACAATCAAATCAATTACAATCCCGTCTCCCTTTACCCGAAAGTTTTCTCTCGACTCTACTAGACTGATCAATGGGAGTTAACTTGAATGAGCAACACGTCAAATGCCACATGTGGAGCAGAATTTGCTTACACTTTCGAAGCACCTAATATTACCAAAGTTTTTGAAGTTGTGTTTTGCACGTTTCGTATATTTTTTTGGTGTTTGTCAATTTTCTTTCTTAGCCATGGTGTTGTCGGTGTATTTTCGACTTATGGGTTAGAATATCCCTTCAATATGTGTCACGTATCTTTTGGTGTAACAAATAATATTCAAAAAGGTACCAAAGTTAGATGTAAACAAAGAAAGACTAGTAATGAATTGGCAGAGAAAAAAAAAGCAAGATGAAAAAAAACCCGAAAAGGACGCATTTTTATAAAACAAAGCTGCAAACTAAAACATAGAAAAAAGAAAAAAAAAATAAACCTCTAAAAAGGGACAAGTTGTAAATAGTGCAAATATTTGTCAGATATCTATCTTATATTCTGGAATATCCATTTATTTATTTCATCAGGGTTCAGGTGGTGTTACGTTACTAGTGAACGCAGTTACGGAGTATAGTAATGCATTTAACGATGTTATTGACGGTGAATTATCCTTGGTGGTTGCAAGGGAAAATGTCGGTACGTGTTTAAACTCTGTTGACTGATGTGCCGCAGAATATTACTTCCATTTTAAGTGTGTTAAATTGTGAGTATAAATGCCTTTATGTGAAACTTAACCTGTTAAACTTGAAGTGAAGAAAACTGGGATGACAATTTGCTCTTTTACATTTACAAAAAGATACAAAATTGTTTCCAACCAAATACTTACATAGAAGACTAACGTGTCAATTGTTCTTTTAACTCATCAGTTACTAATACACTAACCAATAAATGATCAAATATGAAGCCTACAACTTCGTTTGAACCAACTGTAGTTTGCAGTTGTTACATTTAGTATATTGATTTTAAAAGACAATTGATAAGATAAGGGCGAAAGATACCAGAGGGACATTCAAACTTATAAATCAAAAATAAACTGACAACGTCATGGCTAAAAAAGAAAAAGACAAACAAATAAACAATAGTAAACAAGACACAATAAAGAAAACTAAAGACTAAGCAACACGAACATGATGAATCTCACCAAAAACTGGGGGTGATCTCAGGTGCTCCAAAAGGGTAAGCAGATCCTGCTCCACATGTGGCAATCGTCGTGTTGCCCATGTTACTACAAACCCGGTAAATAGTCTAATTCAGTTGGTCACATTCGTGGAAAGGGAACGGAATTGTAGTTTCGTCATTATGAACATATCTTATATCATCTGTGAAACAGATATTGCGTAACGATCAACCAACTCGTGATGGAGTCCGTACAATTTACGATGAGATGATTTCAACTTCATCAATTTGGAACTCTAGGTTTAATAGCTTCCTTGTGAGCAGCAATCATCTATCAAGGAAATCATGATAGAAAATAGCATAGGAATATCATAGCAATGGGGAGATATATACTTCGTATGCAGGTGCAGCTGGGATGTTGCTATAAAAATTTCCTTTTGTAATGTAAATACCAAAACAACACAAAAATAGTTCATTAAAGTTAGGCGGTATTATACTACTATTAACCGTTGTTTAAAGGATTCCTATACCTATAGTATGTTATGTTTTTGAATATTTTTTTAAACTATATACATATCAGTTATTCCAGAAATATATAATATTTCAGTAATGCAAGTTGGAAAGGCTGGTTTGGACGAGATAACTGTACCTGACCGCTTAAAAACATCTGACTCGTGGATATCAGATTCAGCGACTGAAATTCAACTGAAAAAGAATATCTGTAGCGGTGAATAAACACTTTTAATTAAAAAATAATAGCAAAATACACTCATGACGCAAGCAATATGGAGCAAACATACTCAAGTATTTAAAACTATAACGTCAATTATCATTAAAAAAAAAAACTTTTACATTTTTCAAAGTCAAATTATTGAATTATTTTTGAAGGCATCAAAACTATGTGCAAAAAGAATAGGAAAACTAGTTTAAGGTCAATATTACCGTTGCATGTTGCAATTGTTTTTATGAACTTTGCCATTAAGCATTTTTGCATTAACTTTTTGTCACTACATTCGATATTAAGCTAGTAGATCTGTTGGATATAATTATCAATTTCATTTCATTCGGTCATTACATGTAAGGTGTGTACGCACTCAAGGTATAATACTAGCTACCTAAGTATAATTCATATTCAAACTTCTATAATAATCAAACCTTTTCTTAATGTACCTTTTTGTAGTTTTTTATTGATGGTTGCCTCTAGTAATTGGTATTTTGGGACGTCTCCATTTTGTACCAGAGATCAATGCAAAAGTTCATAAAATCAGTAAAACGGGTCTAAAAAGGACGAGTTTTCGTTTATTTTTTTAAATGCCAAACATTTTTGCACAGTGTATTGGCATAAAACATAAAAGACTTCCAAATTATATTATATTTTTGTTAAATCGTTATAAATATACATGTATATGTTTTGGAGTAAAATGTGACGTCCATTTCCACTGAACTAGTACACAATTTTATTTAGGGGTCAGCTGAGGACTACCTCCGGTTGCGGGATTTTTTCGCTGTGTTGAAGACCCATTGGTGGCCTTCGGCTGTTGTCTGCTCTTTGGTCGGGTTGTTGTCTCTATGACATATTCCCCATTTCCATTCTCAATTTTATGATTTGCGCTACACTGTGAGGTGTAACATAAGTAATCGAGCTACCCATCATTGTCGTAGTGTTTATCAATTGGAGAAGAATGTGTAATGATGTATACTCATGTACTATTTAAAACGATAAACACAAAACATATTCAGTATATCTTTTCCAGGTTTGACTGGATATAGCAGCACATTCTATAGAAATATTTCACGTTTGTTTCCAAAGTATATAATACTAAATGGGTAAGTTTAAAATTGTATTTGCAGATGTTTTAATCCTATGAAATCAACAAGCTCTCCTACGCTCCTCTCCTTTTATTTTTACGGTTGAAAGAATAACAAAAATAGACTTGGACATGTATTTACTACACTGATTATACAATTCCCACTTGTTGATTAAAACCTTGAAAACTAGAAGTTGACTTCCATACTCTTTATACGCTGAGTTATCCTTCGTACATTTTACCCGCATCCTTATTTCCCTTTTTAAACATGTTATATTTGCTTGATACGAGAGTGGTTTTCCATTTGTCATATTTTAAACATAGTTATCCATAGTGGGTTGGGAAACAAGTTGTTGCAACTTATATTAATCCCTATCATTTTTGCGGGTTCGAGTGGTGCCTTGTATCGTAATTAGCCTGCTCTTTTTCGAAATTACAAGAGTGTCTTTTACGTGCAAGAGATATTGCTTTCTCTTAACACGGATCAGCCTTGTATCGTCCCTTTCGGACAGACTATCACGGTTTCTCAAGCCCATACTTGCAAATAGTGTCAAAGGGAAAGCCAAACATTCAGTCCCTGAAATTTTCTCAACGGGGATCGAATCAAGAACCTTTGTGTTAGTAGTCCTATGCTCTAATCATTACACTACGGCTCCCTTATCTGTCTTGTAGAATGTATAGCAGAGCTTTTGATTTTGTCATGTTTAATGAAACATTACCTTTTTGAATTAATCTTTGAGTTCGGTATTTTGGCTAATACTTATTTTTGGTGATGTTTTCTGTTCCTGTAAAAACTTGAAACACCTAAGATAACAGTGTTGCCCCGTGCATATTTTGAAACATTTACTAGTAGTTTCATTCCGATCTTGCCTGCTTACGTTAGCTGGTTCTTGCTGGAACTCCGACATCCTAACACTTTGCCGGTTTGATAGAGAAAATGATAATAGCATTTAACAATTGATTATTCAGAAACAATTTTTTGAATTTGCTGAATACAATTTCAATATAAATGTATTCATTCTATTGATAGGAACATCAAACCATTTAATGGGAGTTATGGTGTTAATTCTATTATAGCTGATTTTACAATTCATGGGACAACTTGTTCGGATTATTCCTTAATTATAAAATTCGAACATCTTTTGGTGAGTAAATTTATCAAAATTATCTCTTTATGGTATTTTATCACTGTTCAGTCCTGCTACATTTATTGTTTTAACAAACTGTTTGGATGCACAACAAGTTTTGTCCTCGGGCATTGGTGAAGTGACATTAATTGTTGAAATGTGAATAGTGTGCATTTAAATTGGTATCGTTGATGTATTTACTACCACCGAAGTTGACCAATGTTGTTGGACTGTTCGTTTCAGAGGGTATTATCATACCAGTACCCAGCTCGTCGATGCTGGAATGAAAATACGCATATTGTTCTTCTCAAACTTGATGTTATAATATTTCATTTTATCTTTAAAGAAATTAATGTATCTCCCTCGGACATACATATCACTGTCTAAATTTTTGTGTCATTATTATGTTTAGAATAACATTCTTGTTTTTGTATTCTATTCAACAAGGAAAACTATTCCAAACCATTTTGTGGACATTGGGATTTTAGTGCTTCGTAAGTATGAACAGTCTTTCTTGAAGTGAGGACATTTGTTTTGATGGTCAATAGGACTACTATTTTCCAGAAATAAATAGTTGGATGTTGATCGTTCTGCCTGCAACAATAATCATCAAACACAAGAAAACATTATTTCTGCTTAAATAATAAAAGGAAAACACATATATATATGACAGGCTAACGCATGTGGTAGTGAAAACAATATTTGAAACCTCTCAACACTCCCATAATCCGGAACAGTAATATACTGAAATACGCGTTTTACAAAAGGAAATTAATGTGGTTTGAATTATTTACTTTAACACAGTAATCACCATTCATAAAAGTCACATATTACGACAGATGTATTGAAACATGAATTGAATATGCCTTTTGGAAACTATACATGGTCATCTTGGTTGATTCCAACATTATGTTCAGTTTTGTTAATTAAACATTATCCTTTCAAATATCCTTTGTGAAGATACACATTATCATTTGTATATCATTTTCGAATTTACCCTTTTGTGCTTTTTTGCAAGATTATATCAACAGAAAAACTGCAAATGTGACATTGATACTTATCTTATAGAAATACTTTTAATGGAGCGTGGTCGACATTTGGTTCACGAGTTGTTGATGCTACTGACTCGTACACGATATGTGAATATAATCATACAACTAATTTTGCCATTTTGATGAGCCCAGGGAGGACAGTATGTTTACTTCTGTTAGATAATATATCAAAGTTCCTCAATAAAATATCACATCTGCATTTTATTATTTCTATAATTTTATTATGTTTACTCTCTAAATATTTTGTGCTCGCGATATGAAAAACGAATAGTGATGACAAATAGAAGTATAGTGCAGCGAAATCCATTTTCATGTTCTTTCCAATTAATGTAATTATTATTTGCATGTGCAAATATGTTAACGGATTTAAACTGAACTAATGTTTCTGAAATATTATCTTTTCATACCCTACGTGTTGGGGGTTATTGGAGTTAGTTTGCACTGGATAATAGTCTTTCTGTTTCTGCACTATTTTATTGTACTGACAGCACCGGGATACTTTATATTTACAATTTTCAATTTTTGAGCATTTAACCCGTGAAGTTGCCTTAAACTTTATATCAGTCATAAACTATAATTGACCAATTCCTTTTGGACATTTGTATTAGCTAATTAAGCAAAATCCATGCACTCAACAATGCAAAAATGTCTGAAATATGCATTAATGTTTGGGGTATCAAAGCATAACGAACAGACTATGTTTCATTCAAGTATTCATTCTTCTTTTGGTGAATGCTTGTTTCGGGGATTCTATGGATTATGTCGAATGACTTTTTTTAAAGAAAAACATTGATTTCTTAAAACATATTTAATTTGTCCAAGCTTTCAACTGTCTGACGTCAAATTGTTCACTGTTCCTACCGTCCTGAGCATTGGAGGATTGTTCTGACAAGATGATAATTTCAAACATTTGTTTTTTGTTTGTCGTTTTTTGTTTTTTTGAAGGGGTCAGGTCACTTTTTTTTCATATAAGGACGAAGTAGAAAATCCCACAAAAACCAACATTAATTTTAAATCAATTTACATATCAATCCAAAATCTCTTACCTTTAAATTTGCTTCCTTCATTTGCGCATAAATCGTTTCATCTATTCCTGTGCCTGTTTACCGAAAGATAATCGGCAGTTAGTTGATGAAACTAAATTCCATATCAATTTAAAATGAGTCCAGTGCTGATTTAAAATATAATTAAAAACACAAAAAATGCGTTTTCTGGGAAATTTGACCAATCAGTCAGGCAGATTTTATGTATCGGATAATAATATGACTCTTTATTTCAATTCGTCTTTTAAAGGTTTATATTGTTATTAAAATAATATTTCAATATGAAAAAGAAAAACGTTACCTGTAGATATCGTTTTTTTTTTGTTAACATTGAAAATCACATCGTCCTCCTATACAAGTAACACTCCGTTACATAATGATTGTGTTTGAATTTATTGTTGGTATCTTCATCCTCATATTCTGCAAATTTAAATTTGTACTTGTCGTTATTGGTTTGTTGTGAAGAACCATCGCCATACTACAAAATTAGTAAAACTAGTCTGCACAAGTATTAAAAATTGTACTTTGATATCAGTCTATCTTTCTTAATATAATTTTACTATTTTTACAAGCCACCGTCTCATTATTTCCCACTGAGCCTTATATCAGCCATCGGATGTGGAGTGTCCATTTTGTTTCTGGTCATTACAATTCTCATTCATTTTGTTCTTTGGAGGTAAGATTTACAATTTCAATTTTGCATTGTTGTAATTAAAATAACATTGTTGTTATGAATACTTATTTAATTTACATGAAAATATCAGCGGAACTTAAAGAGTTTGTTTTACCCCATTAGTTATAATTTTATACACTATTCATTAAAAATAGCATACACATTATAATATTTGATAATTTAATTTGCTTATATGCATTCTAAAACCATTGTTGTCCCTGTGAAGGTTTATCCAGGCGGTTACTGAACTATAACTAGAAAACAAATGAATGGTCTAAACTTTTTCAAAAATAAGACATGTATTTTTTTAAATAAAATACATTTGATTCATTCTGCACAATCAGTTGCCAATGATTACCTTAGAATATTAGTGCATAATGATCACATTGGGGATAGAAACACATGTTACTGTCTTTGTACCTTTAACAATTGACAGAATTGTCCATTAAGTGTACATTCCGTTTTATTTTTTTTTAAAATAAGAGTTTTGTGTCTAGCCCTGAAACATCTACAGAGTAAACACAATCAAAGATGACGAAACCGTAATATCACTGAAACATTTCATTCGAGCCGTCTGAAATTGTACAGCACTTTACCCAATATTGACTTAAAAACTCCTTAAAAGTATGAAATACAATATTGAACTTACAATAACTGTTTTTTTAATGAAACAAACGCTTTATAAATTGAATGCATCGGACAAGCTTTTCTGAAATAATTTCACCAGGAACATTCAATATAGGATTTAACACATTTTTTCTGTAGGTTATTGATGTGTAAACCGGGGCGATTAACTCACAAACTGAATAAAAGTCCTTAGGACTTTTATGTTAAGTTCGTGAGTAAGAGTCTTCAACTTTGTACTTCTTTGGCTATTTAACTATTTCGATCTATGTAGACGAAACGCGCGTCTGGCGTATTAAATTAAAATCCTGGTACCTTTGATTAATATTTTATCCTTATAATTCTTAAGCCAACTATTTGCGATTTTTTATTAACATTTTTTTGTGTAATGGCTAATATAGCTATCATCAAATACACATTTGACAAGTCGTAACTAAGGAGTTGGCCGCCATATTGACTTTCTAAAATCCATGCATGTTCTTTGAATGCAAAAAAATCTAAAATGACATAGCATCTCTCTCATAAACTTCATTTTTATGAAATATTATCCTAATTTGAAGCGTACAAGTAACGAAATAATCTTTCCCGTGAAAGTTGTCATTCGTATGACGTCGTGTCTAGCCATGACGTAAATCAGCTAAATTATTCATGAAATTAAGCTGAATTTTATTTAAATTTAGTTTTATACATTTCCGAAGTTTAAATGATTTATTTCTTTTTTGTTATACACTCATCAGAATAGAAAGAAATGTTATGTATTTCTTTTAATCTCAATTTGCTGAAAACCCGGGATCTCTGCATGCATCTGTATCGCGCATGAATAGATCACTATAAAAGTTCCAAAAGTAGTTTCAGAAACATAGTTTATCAAAATGTTAACCAAAAGAAAAATTCTAACTGACCAATCCAATTCAAATATGTAGGGATATGCAAATCATATCAAAAGTATTACCGAATATCTGAGGCGAATGATATCAAATAACCGAAACAGAAGAACTTGATGACCAAAGACAGACATAAATAAAATAAACAAATCAAGGTCAACTTTGTATAGTAGTGTTGGAACCTTACTTTCTTATAAATTTATCAATTTAAAAACGGAAAATGTTAGTAAGCTATGATTTATACTTATATTGGTTGATGTAACAGGATAGTTATAAAATACTTATTATTCAATTACTGCATATGAAAACCTTTAATTGTAAAATATTACGTGGAAGATCATAAAACTTTAAATATGTTTCCCTACTTCTATCAAAAATTTTATAAGTTAGTCGATTTTTTATACAAACAGACAAATACCACTCATCAAACTAATATAGGTATACCAAGAGACCGCCAAAAACGAAACAGTCATTCGTAGGACTGTTTAACACTACCGCATTTTTTACATGTAAGATTTTGATAAACATGTTGGTTCAACATACCGAAATAAGTCTCGCGAATGAATGGCCTAAATCATTGAATAAAATATATATGTATCAAGTCACGGTATGTCTTTCAGCTGAAAAATTAGCATCAACTTGGTGCAATACTACTGGACTCTTTATGATGTAAACTTCAGAAAAATACTTAGCAGATAAATGAAAAGAACCTAGTATATATCTTCAACTTCAGGATCTGTTTTATAATTGACACTCAAAAATATGGGGTATCCATCCATCCATGACACTACATGTAACACACATTCGTTTGATGTGTTTGAGGTTTTGATTTTACCATTTGATTAGGGACTTTCCTTTATGAATTTTCCTCGGAGTTCGGTATATTTGTGATTTTACTTTTATACACATACCAAAGGGTAATTTTCTATATAATTCAAATGTTTTGTTGCAATTTTAACTATTTTATTTCGGTGAACTTGTAATTTATGATACTTAATCACAATAAAAACAAAAAATATGTCAACAAATATAAACAAAATGGCATGTACAAAAAACACATGAGCAAAAACGAAAGACGAGAATACAAAAAAAGTCACCATAGCACAAAAACACAATGGCGGGTTGTATAAGCACCCATTCACACCATAAGGATATATAAAAAATATAAATTAAACAGTTAAGTTTATAATTTACAAAGACAAATAAAAGATGATATCTATCGTCAATACATATAATCTATCTTCCTAAAACACAATGTCGTCCCATTTCAAGGTTTTTGACGTTTCTAAACGCGATTAATCACTAGCGGTGATGCAACAATACATAATTAACCTGATATTTGTGCGTTCGTTTCTCATTATTTTGTAGCTAAATTCAAGACTCGTGTATCCATTGATTTTGTTACTGTTGTAGGTATGTGAAAACTGATAGAACTAAAACACTGATGAACCTATGTTTGGCATTAATTATGTCGTATGTAATATTCCTAGCTGGTATAAAACAAACAGAGAATAAAGTAAGAAAAAAGGAATAAAGTTATATAGTATTAAAAACAAGGTATGACATGTGATTCAAAACTGAAACAAGAAAAAAAGAAACCACCTGAATACTTAAGTCGAGGACAAACTGACAACGCAATTAGAAATAATGAAACTACAAATATATACTTTGGTATCCAATAACAACACCAAGCAGTCATTATCAAAACAAGAAGATGGTGTATGCTTGCCAATAAGACAACTTTCTATCAGAAATAAAATGAACGCATAGAAAAATTGCTGTCACCTAAAATAGAAATTTTAGTCAGATTCGTTGTAATATTCATTACTGTTAACCAACAATTGTTTAAATACAAATATATGTATTTGAAAAGTTTGCAATTCAATTGCATAAACTATTTGGATATTAGTTCCTTGAGGAATTTTCATTTTTATGTAATCATGAAAAAATTTAATTTTAGTCATACAAATGCAAACGAGTATTGACTAGCATTATACAATTTTTTAATCGAGCAATAACTACTACGTATAAAGTATCTTTTCTGACAAAAAGCCAATATGAAGGATTTGTAGTATACTATGTGCATTTAAATGATTCTATAAAAAGTTCGATGATGAAGTCACGAACCTTTGTTAACATTTTGAAATGCTAAAGGACAGTTTTGTTGAAACGATGATCAGGAAGATGCAGTTTTGGTGGCAATGAGACAGATTTACTGACTTTATAATTTGCTAAATTATTATATATTTAGTTATGCTTTTTGGTTTATCTTATTTAAAGGTTATATGTTCAGCGATTGCAGTTGGCTTGCATTTTATGTTCCTAACAGACTTTGCATTGATGCTGGCGGAGGGTATTCTTATTGTGAGAATGGTAGTATTTGTTTTCCCAACAAATTCCATAGTTCATAAGCTTATACCTGCATGTTGGAGTAAGTTGAAAAACATTAATTTACATTACACATACAAATAGACGGCTTAATTCTACAAACAAGTATAATTTTATTTGATAATTCATGTGTAATTGAACAACTCATATGTTTTCCATGCTAAACAATTTTATTTGCTTGTCGATATGAAAACAAAAAGGTAACTTCAAGTATCGATTTATCCATAGCTTCAATACAAAAAAGAGTATATTTTGGAATTATATTTACAGGTCAGTCGAGGGCATACATCATGACCAAAAAATACAAAAAGACAAATAAAAAAAGCATAAAAAAACAGAAAAATGTGATTTAAAAACTGCAAACCAACAGACACGGGAATAAAAATCCCTTCAAAACAGGGATAGCAACATGTACGAAAGTGCAAAACATATTGCACAGTGCATATTGCAGATATTAGAGTGCTATAACGATAGTAAGTATGCTTCACTGTATACAAAATTATTCAATCTTTATTTCCAGTTGTTCCAGCTTGCATTGTTGGATTTACTGCTATTGTGACTAAACTTAAAGGCTATGGCAATCAGCAGTTGTACGTATTTACCGCCAAATTATGATATGATACATTATACTCATAACAAATTGTTAAGAAAAAGAAAAAAAATAATTGTTTGTATGAGAATGTAGAATAAGAATGTAAGTATTATATGATGTTACAAATATTGATGAGTGGTTGGTGACTCACGTTCACTTGTCATTCTTACGCATCTTAAATACGATAATTCATTGATGTGAAATGACTATGAATTTTGTTTTGTATTAAACCGACATGACATGCCACAATGGTTATATCCAATCACACAGCTAAAGTCCGTAATTAAATTAGCGAAAAAATATTGCCTACGGTCAGATTGGCCAGTCTTTGATCTTACTACTATTTTTTGAAGACTAAGCTTTACTAACGTTCAAGTGTTTTTTACTTTAACAAGGTCGGGGTCGAACCAATAAATGTATGTACTCTAAGGTTATGGTGCTTCAATTAATTAATTTGTCTGTCAGCAATACCAGATATACGACAATAAACGACAACTACTGATTGACATATTCCTGACCTGGGACAGGCACAAACATAATGTTGCGGGGTTATCAAACTAGTTTGAAGGTGGGTCAACCCGTTCGTAATCAGTGACAGTGGTGTATTCTCACGGTGTATTCACACAACAATAATTTATTTCGAGATACTGACTTTTTAACTTTTGACTTATGTATTAATAAGTGTTCAACCAGTTGTATATGGCATGGAATTGGTTGCAAAAATTTGATATTTTTCATTTAAATGCAATACTTTTTATTCAATTGGTATATTTCTTCATTTAAATGCAATATTTTTTTATTTAAATGGTATATTTCTTCATTTAACTGCAATATCTTTCATTCAAATGGTATAATTTTTCATTTAAATGGTATATTTTTTCATTTATATGCAATATTTTTTATTCAAATGGTATATTTGTCATTCAAATGCAATATTTTTCATTCAATTGGTATAACTTTTCATTTGAATGCAATATTTTTTATTTAATTGGTATAGTAGTTTTTTTTTTTATTTATATGCAATTATTGCATTATGGGAAATTATTTAACGTCACAAGGTCAAATTTGCAACAACGATTGTGATTGGTCGGTAATTGTTTGGATTTCTCCCCTTTCTTTCTAAACATGATTTACCAAAAAATTAAAAAAAACGCGTCAGAATATCGCCCCTCAAATTAAATTTGGCGTTCGTGCAAGTTCGTGCACTGGCTTTTAATGCCAATAATGGCCACGTCGAGCAAAAAATGTTATAATAGTTAATTTGACACATAACCTGTCCTTGGACAGAAACAGATACTTGCGTGCACATGACAAACAAGTTACACAAGTAACTCTATTTTGTGCCACAGTATATAATATAATAAGATACAAAAGAGGGACGAAAGATACCAGAGGGACATAAACTCATAAATCGAAAATAAACTGACAACGCCTGGCTAAAAATGAAAGAAGACAAACAGACAAACAATAGAACACATGACACAACATAGAAAACTAAAGAATAAGCAACACGAACCCTACCAAAAACTAGGGGTGATCTAATGATTTGTATCAAACAAATTGTACGATTGTACGATTAGCTATTATCTAGACCCGTACAAAATGTATGTTATAAGATACATTTAAGAGTGGCGGATCCAGAACCTCGGTGTCTAGGGGGGATTTCTTTATCATATTATCTATAGGTTTGGTCCCGGCCCTTATCTATATTTTGCACATTATTCTATCTTTGTAAACCCAATTACTGTCCTGATAAATGGTGACTCAGACTCAAAAAACATGTTTAACCCGCAGCTTTTTTGCGATGTCCTAAGTGAGGAGCCTCTGGCCTTTGTTAATCTTGTATCATTTTTAATTTTAGTTTCTTGTGTTTAATTCGGAGTTTAGTATGACGTCCATTATCACTTAACTAGTATACCAATTTGTTTAGGGGCCAGCTAAAGGACGCCTCCGGGTGTGGGAGTTTCTCGCTGCGTTGGAGACCCATTGTTGGCCTTCGGCTGTTGTCTGCTCTATGGTCGAGTTGTTGATTCTTTGACAAATTCCCCATTTCTATTCTCAATTTTCAGATCATGTAATACAATAGGTCTTATTAAAATACAATAGCATTTTAATGATGATTATATTTATGTATACATATTTAACAATGCCAGTTTTTTTGGAAAAATGGGTAGGGGCAAGTCTTTTTTAAAACTTATTAATGGTGCGCGCTTTTTTGTTCTTCAGTAGTGAGCCAGAAGAAGTCCATTTCTGTTGGGTTTTTTTTTGCATTGGGAAGATCTTCTGGCTCTCTTCCATCTCCTTTTTTCTGATTGTCTAGACGGCAGAGGCACATACCAAACACATTTTCCATTCTCAATTTTATATGGCGTCGTTTAGCCTAAATGATATTAATGAATTTATGAATGCAGATATATTAGAATGTAAACTGTGTTATAAACGTTTTTTTAGGTATGACAGCCTCAGAAGGACATCCATGTAGTACGATAAGCTGGATAAATATAAGAACTACACCGTCCGACAATAACAGTTTAGGGACGATTATTTGATATTCTAGGGAAGAGATTTTGATTGATTGGTGTTAAACGCTATTCAACACTATTGGGCTATTCCATGGTGGTCAGTTTAAATCCCTAATCAATGAATTAAGTTTTAATTCATTGATGAGGGATAAAGAAGTGAAGTGAGGGCATTATCATTTATTTGTATCTGTCGCTAATCATGCCTATTTTTCAGGCACCCATATTCATATATAAAATCCTTCTGCCCCCCCAGCCAACAAATAAATAAATATCAAATAGTTTTCCACTTATTTAACACAACTTTAAATTGATTGATTGTTTGTTGCTAATTTGTAACGCTCAGTGACAAACATTTCATATAATATGCTTGTTCAGGAAAACACGTGTTTAGAAGTCAGGTATAAATATAAAGACGAAGAGATGGGATATGATTGCTAATAAGGCAACTATCCACCGGAGTTAAAATATGAAGTGGATGTAAGCAATTATAGACAATCGAAAGGCCTCCGACAATGACAAAAACCTGATACTGTAAAGTCGTCTATAAAAGATCCGACATGAAAAGTGTGAGCAATTCAAACGAAAAAACTAACGGCCCTTTTTACAAAATATCAAATATGAGTCAAGACATGAACCAACGACAACCACTAAATTACAGGCTTCTGACCTGGGACAGGCAAATAAAAAATATGGCAGGGTTGATATAAAACGAAGATGTGGTATGGCTGCGAATGCGACAAGAGACCAAATTACACAGAAACCAACAGCTATAAATCACCGTACGGCCTTCGACAATTAGCAAAGCCTACACCGCAAAGTCAGCTTTAAAAGGCCCCGAAATTACAAATGTAAAACAATTCAAACGAGAAGAATTACGGCCGAATTAATGTACAAAAAATGAACGAAACACAAATATGTATAACACAGCAACAAACGACAACCCCTGAATTACAGGCTTCTGGTTTGAACAAACGCATACATACAGAATGTTGCGGGGTTAAACATGTTAGCGGGATCCCAATCCTCCCCCTCACCCGGGACAGTGGTGTTACAGTACAACAACATGTTTGTGAGCACTCAACCCATCCCGAAGCTGGTACAGTGGTGTAACAGTAAAATAAAAGAACAACCTGCACTAATCAGTTGCAATTGATTACTATAACCCAAAAGATCGGTACGAGACACACAAAAAACCTAGCATTCAAACAATAGACACAAAACACCGACATTAGAGTATTTGCAATAACTAGAAGTTTGCTCAAAGCTAATAACAACTAGTACTAAAATAAATCTTGTTGTCCCAGACTGAAGTATCAATCAGTACACAACGCGCGGCAAATGATTTATCAAAAAAGAAAACATTCTGAGAAACGTCTGGTTTACGTTGTATATATATATATATGAAGATGTGGTATGAGTGCTAATGAGACAACTCATTCATTCTTGGTCACTCATGTTTAGAAAGAAAGGGGAGAAATCCAAACAAATACCGACCAATCATACACGTTGCTGCAAATTTGACCTTATGACGTCAAAGAATTTCTCATAATGCAATTATTGCATATAAATAAAAAAACTGCTATACCATTGAATAAATAATATTGCATTCAAATGAAAAATTATACCAATTGAATAAAAAATATTGCATTTAAATGAAAAAAATATTGCATATAAATAAAAAAATATACCATTCAAATAAAAAAATATTGCAATTAAATGGAGAAATATACCAATTAAATAAAAAATATTGCATTTGAATGACAAATTATACCATTTGTATAAAAAATATTGCATTTCAATGAACAAATATATCTATTAAATAAAAAATATTGCATTTGAATGACAAATTAGCCCATTTGAATAAAATATGTTGCATTTAAATGAAAAAATATTGCATTTAAATGAAAAAATATACCATTTAAATAAAAAAATATTGCATTTGAATGAAGAAATATACCAATTAAATAAAAAATATTGCATTTGAATGACAAATTATACCATTTGAATAAACAATATTGCATTCAAATGAAAAAATATACCATTCAAATAAAAAAATATTGCATTTAAATGAAGAAATATACCAATTAGATAAAAAAAATATTGCATTTAAATGAAAAATATCGAATTTTTGCAACCAATACCATGCCATAGTTGTATGCAGTCTGGTAAAATATTTATTTTTCTTTATTTTTTTTATTAGCATCTACCGTTTGAGGCCTTTGTTTACTTCTATGTATCTGTTCATGTTTCATCTGTATAGTTTTAATTGTTGGTAACGGATTGCATGATATCCTTAAATCGTTTGATTTGTTGTCTGAGTTACTTATTGAGTTAATACTAATTGAGCTATGTCAACAAAATTGTTGACTTTATGACTTAAAATTTCCTGCCAAGTTCTAAACTTCACGATGTTTCTTTGAATTATTTATTTTTGTGGTAAATTCGATTTGTTTTTCATTCATTATTTTGTTCATTTTTCAAGCCGTTAGTTTTTTTCGTTTGAGTTGTTTACATTTTTCTGATTGGTGCCTTTTATATTTTGACTGTCCCTCTGGTATCTTTCTTCCTTTTTGTAGCTGACAATGTGGTATGAGTTCAACTCATTGTTGAAGGCTTACGGTGACCTATATTTGTTATTTTCTGTGTCATTTGGTCTCTTGTGGTATGTTGCATCATTGGCAATCATACCATACAATTGAGAATGGAAATAGGGAATGTGTCAAAGAGACAACAACCCGACCATAGAACAGACAACAGCATATCAGTTTTATTTTATACTGAGTTGTTTTGTTTTATTTTTTTTATCACAATGCACATGTATATTAATATTTATTGTCTTTTACTGTTTACAATTTACGGAGAAGTGTTTGTCTCTATCATATGAATTTGGTCTTATTATAAAATTGAGAATGGAAATGGGGAATGTGTCAAAGAGACAACAACCCGACCATAGAACAGACAACAGCAGAAGGTCACCAACAGGTCTTCAATGCAGCGAGAAATTCCCGCACCCGGAGGCGTCCTTCAGCTGGCCCCTAAACAAATATATATACTAGTTCAGTGATAATGAACGCCATACTAAACTCCAAATTGTACACAAGAAACTAAAATTAAAAATAATACAAGACTGACAAAGGCTAGAGGCTCCTGACTTGGGACAGGCGCAAAAATGCGGCGGGGTTAAACATGTTTATGAGATCTCAACCCTCCCCCTATACCTCTAGCCAATGTAGAAAAGTAAACGCATAACAATACGCACATTAAAATTCAGTTCAAGAAAAGTCCGAGTCTGATGTCAGAAGATGTAACCAAAGAAAATAAACAAAATGACAATAATACATAAATAACAACAGACTACTAGCAGTTAACTGACATGCCAGCACCAGACTTCAATTAAACTGATTGAAAGATTATGTCTTCATCATATGAATATCAGGCACAATCCTTCCCGTTAGGGGTTTAGTATCATACCATCATAACATATATGAGAAGAACATAACCCGTGTCATGCCAACAACTGGTTTTTAAATAAATGTGTTTAGTGCCGATGCAAAGACCCTATAAGTGAATCAATATTAACGCCAAAATATGCAATCTTTAATGACCTGACAACAGTATCGTAACTATATCCCTTCTTAATAAGTCTATTTAAAGGTTTTGTTAGCTTCAGAGGTGAATACTGACATTTTTGTGCTTTATAAAGAATATTTCCATAAAAAATTGGATGTGAAATACCTGAACGTATAAGAAGTCTGCATGTTGAGCTATATTTACGAATGATGTCCTTATACCGATGATAAAATTTAGTAAATGTTTTGACTAGTTTGTGATATCGAAAACCCTGGTGTAATAATTTTTCAGTAATACATAAATTTCTCTCGTTAAAATCTAAAACATTGTTACATACACGAGCAAATCGTACAAGTTGAGATATATAAACACCGTAAGATGGTGACAAGGGAACGTCACCATCTAAAAATGGATAATTAACGATAGGAAATGAAAAATCATCTCTTTTATCATATATTTTAGTATTAAGCTTTCCGTTAATGATATAGATATCAAGATCGAGGAAAGGGCAGTGGTCATTGTTAGTATTAGCTTTATTTAAAGTAAGTTCAACAGGATAAATTTCTTTGGTATACATACTGAAGTCGTCATTATTGAGAGCCAAAATATCATCCAAATATCTAAAAGTATTATTAAATTTGTGTATCAGATGTTGTTTCGATGGGTCTTTGCTAATTTTTGTCATAAATTGTAACTCATAGCAATACAAAAAAAGGTCCGCAATAAGTGGTGCACAGTTAGTCCCAATTGGAATTCCGATAACCTGACGATATACGGAATCTCCAAAGCGAACAAAAATGTTATCTAGTAAAAATTCAAGGGCATATATAGTATCAAAGCATGTCCAATTGACATAGTTTTTTTGTTTATTGCTACTAAAAAATGACCTAAAAGAGTTTGAACATATATATTCACATTCTGACTTTTTAAATGCCCATTTAATTAGGTGTGTGATTTTTTTCTTAATGAAAATGTGAGGAAATGTGGTATATAGGGTAGAGAAATCAAAACTTTGAACAGATTCAACATCACCAATATATGCATGCAATTTATCAAGTACTTCCAACGAGTTCTTGACACTCCAAAAGTAATTAATTCCACTATTTTCGAAGGCCTTATTTGAACAATTTATTATCAGATTTTTGATTGTACCAAGTGTACTGGTAAGAAGAATAGACAATTTAGTAGTGGAACAATGGCTTGAAGACGAAATGAATCTATATTTGTAAGGTGTTTTGTGTAGCTTCGGAAGCCAATACATAGTTGGGACTTAAACAGTTTATTCACAATTTTTTTAGTTTAGTTAATTATCTTTGAAAAAAAAACAATGGCTGTGATTTAAGACACAAAATCTTTTTTGTACTCTTAAATCAAGAAATTTACTAATGCCACTGATTTTTTATATTTACTATTGGCCATTTATTTGTCAATGAATTTTTCTCGGGTAACACAAAATCCAATATTTCTCGATTAAAACCATATACTTGGCTATTAATATCTTCAAGCAGATTATACCTAGCAAACATATGGAAGGTGTGCATAAGAATTGAACTGTGTGTATGTCTCTTTTTTTACTTTATTTTTACAATCTTGTGTCCATTTGTTTATTTTATGCAAAACAATAAAATAACAAGTAGTAAAATGTATATATTAACCATCAGAGGATTACTTTCATTTATTTCAGTTGTTGGTTAACCCTTGAATCAAACCTCATCTGGGCGTTCATTGGACCAGCACTACTTGTAATGTTGGTATGTATGTACAAAAAACAGTAGTCACTATAGTATACCGCTGTTCAAAAGTCATACATCGATTGATATAAAACAAATCTTGGTAACAAAATAAAACCGAGGGAAACATCAACTATTAGAGGAAAACAAGGTAACAATAGAACACTGAAGTGAAACAACATCGTATGTATCAACCAATTCGTGATGGTGTCCATAAAATTTACGGAGTTTCAATTTTTATCTTTCCTCCTCATAACTTTGTTGAAGCAGTTTATGCGTAAGAACGTTACCATTCCGAATTAAGGAATATCAGGAATATTACGATATTATTTTTGCAATTTGTTTGTTTTCTTAAATTCTAGTATTTACTTCTAAATTGTATGATGAATTATAGACGTATGTTTGTTCCCTATGTATAAAAACATTTAGATTTAAAAAAAATACGAATAAAAGAAAAATTCCTAAATGTATTAAATTATTCAGATATTAAAAAAAAAATCAATAACAGAAAAATACAAACCGAACACAAATATACAAATAAATCATACAGTATTTTTGCTAATCGTTCTAATGCTTGTTTTTGTGTTCTGTTAACACAACGAAAACAATGATTAACATGTTTGATATTTTGCGGGGTTATGATGTCTTACGTATTGTCATCCTTGTTTTTTTATAAGTTAAATATGTCATCAATGTTTACCAACTCGAGATAGATCCTCGAATAACTACTGTCCATGCTTACTATACTTCTTGCTGTTTAGAAACATTCAATAATTTTGGTAATTGATCATACTTGATTGTTTTCTTTTAAGTCGCACATATTTCTAAATGCAATATTTGAAACTTATAATGATTTGTTTTTGGTTTTATTGCTTTGAAAAAAAAATTTAAAAAAATGGTGCAACCCTGTATTGCCGAGATTGAACAATAGAAATATGAATCAAGAGTTAGCATGTTTAGCTAGCGGAAATACGTGTACGTCATGTTGATTCAAAATTCATGTCAGAATCTCCTCTTACTGTACTCACAACAACTGTACAAACATATGGTACTTGTCATGCACCTTATTCTGTTTTTTGACTGCATTACTTATGGTTCACACATCATGCACATATGATTTGGAAAATCAAGTTTTAAAACAAAAAGGGAATTGCCTTCAAGGAAGAGGCGGAAGATGCCATTGAATTAGTCAAACTCGTCATTCGAACACTAACTGACAATCCTATGGTAAAAATATAGATAGATAACAACAACAGATAAAGTTCTTGATATGCTCTTGGACAATATATCTGTTCTTGGGAAATATATGTCAGTATCTTAAAAAAGGTAAAAGTAAGAGGTTGTCAAAGGTACTATAAAAGATCATTTGTTAAAAGTTCGAAAAAAAAAATAAACCCAAACAAATAGTCATTAATCAGTTAAAATAGTCCACTCCTTCGAATTGACTAACAACAAAACAAAGCAAAATCTAATTTCCAGTATGGAATAATATATTTTTTTTACTATTTACTGTCAAATAATTTTTGTATATCGTTTATTTCAGATTAATTTTATGTTCATCATTATAACGGTGTATAAAATGATGACCAGTAGAGGGTTAGCTGTGAAAACACTACAAGTCAAATTTAAGTTAGTTTGTTTTGATGATTAATTTGTCAGCATTCATTACCAGTTAAGATTTTTTATTGTCATATTAAGCTAGGGTCACACATTCACGATTTTTACTCCCGTCCTTGACAGCACCATTCCCGATTGAAATTTGTCAAACGTCTGATCAAGATCCTGTGAATCGTGGATGGAAATTCAAACTTTAATTAAAATTTGTAAAAAAAAAATAATTTAATCACGACAACAATCAGATATTGTTCAGGAAGCGTCGATATTCAACCGTTTCCAAGCAAACTTGTTCCGATAATCCCGTTCTCAATCCGATTCTTATCCGATTTGTATCTTTCGCATGGTAAAATTCGACCGAGTCTGTCACGACTGCGTCCCGATTCTACCGAATGTAATCCGACAGAGATCAGACAGTGACCAGACAGTGAACCGACGCTGACGGAAGTTATCCGTTAGAAAACTGTCGGCATATTCGGGATGATCAGGTACTGTCGGAACGTAATCCTATCACGGTCCGCTCTACCGCAGTGCAAACGGCTTTGTTTGGACCCAGTCGTATTGTTTTCTGTATCTGTCGGGACTCTGATGTGGGTATTATTGACGAATTTCGCAATCGACAAGATCTGGATGCAATCTGGACTCAATGGCCAGAAAAACAGCAATGAAAAATTCCCGTTCCACAAGATACCGTCAAGAAAACACAGGACATTGTTAGGATTTTGATCCGATACAGCAGAATCTGTCACGACGTAGTCACGTTTGTAATCCGACTAGACAAAATCGGCTGAGTTTCCCCGAATGTTACGGGACGCGCCTAACTGTCGGGGTGCTTCGCCGAACTATCCGGACCATTCCCGACCCATAGGAATCTGTTACGAACTTTAAAGACTGCGTTCAGGCAATGATAGGACATTCCAGATAATTGAGGATAGTAATCCGACTTTTTCACTTTTCGTGTCTTATCGCTGTCTGATCTCAAACGGGAGCAATAATCGGCAATGTGTGAACGCCGCATTAGGAAAATAGTTAAAACTACTTACTGAAGTACACTTTCAAAATGTTTGGAACAAATTACCGAAGAGTATTACATAGCTAAATATTCAAACAAAGTATTCCGTTGATCACCAACATCTTTTAATACGAAGGTAGATACGAAAAAACATGTAGTTATTAGAAGGAAAAAGTTATAAAAATTAGAAAAAAAATAACAAAATGAAACGAGTTGGTGAAAACTTTCATTCATGAACAGATAGCAGAATATACGACAATTCAGTCAACAGAACAAGACAGTACTGAGACAGGCAAACACCATCGTATCACACTTGATTGTTCTGTTGACACTTAGGTCATCTGTCTAGTTACTGCATTAAGAAAAAAATTAAGTAGCATGTGTTTGTCGTTTAAATAGATATATTAAGCTAACATTATCAGCATACAATATATATATGATATTATTATCAATATTACATACTAAAAATCGAAACTGAACATAACCCTTCAACTGCATTGCCACCAGATATAGGTATTACCCTTAACCCGTTATTGTAAGCGACTATGACACACAAATCAGTAGGACATCGACTTGAATGGTGATCGGGGGAGAGATTAATCATTAATTTATATATGACGATGGAAATGATGAACGAAAATAACAATAATCTTCATTCAGTCGAAATCTCACAATCGCAAAAAGAACAACCATGGCAACAAAAAATACTACAAAAACATTTGAGTTGAGCTGAGACACAAATAGATATCGTAATGGTAATTATATGTCAGGGGAACACGCCTGTTATCTCTTAATGAGGTAAACACAGTGTGAAAAATTTACGAGTGTACCGGACAAATGGAGATACAAATACTACTGTTAATTTAACATATGCATAATTATATTATTAATTAAACTGACAGAAATGGGTAGTATGTCAAAGAGATATCAACCTTCCCTTAGGATTGTTATTACAGAATAATTTGTGCTTGATAAATTGTTAGTCATATAATAGGAAATAACTTTACTTTATCAACGACATATTCATTAATTTTAATACTTCATATTGCTTTAAAAGTATTAATACTAATCGCGGAAAAAAACGTTTTATTGTGAATAACATAATGTTTTTTCTCTGTACCAACAAATGTATATTGTTTTTTCGTAGGATTGGTTTGAAAAGTATTTGTGTCATTTTACCGTTGTTTGGATTAACATGGGTACTAGGAGCATTTTCTATAAACGATGATCTGGTCATGTTCCAATACCTATTTGCAACGTTCAACTCTCTGCAGGTATATTAGACATCTACTTGTTTATCACTCAGTCAAATTGGTGTTAAAGTTATTCAAAACCAAATATGTGTTAAATGCAATCATTTACCTTAATGTTCTGGGATCGATAATTTATTCTTAAAGATATTTTAACAGGAGCTTCGTTTCATTTCGATAACTTTAAGATATTTACAGAAGGAACAGAAGAGACGAAATGAATATCTATAAGTGGAAGACAAACTGACAACGTTAAAGAAAAAGACAAAAAAAAAAGCGACGAAAGCATAAAGCGTAGTCTATAACGCATCATTCAATTACGGTAGACTGAGCAACAATAACCTCTTTAAAATCTGATGTGAGTGCATGTGCCCAGATAGAGTAAACATATCTTGCAACAAGTGTAGCGTCCGTCTTGATGCTTATGATAGTAAACATCTGATGATGTATTATATGGTGATGTCAATTTGAGAAAAAAGAGCGGGATGGAGGATAGGATATTTGGAACATATCCGTCGTCATCTTTGAAACAGATAATCCATAACGGTCAACTAACTCGTGAAGAGCTTTAGATTAATAGTTTACTTGTAAGCAGCTCTCTTTACCAAAGAAATCATGATACGAAACATACTGTCTGAAATATCAACTAGGAGATATATACACTATCTGCATGCGCTGTTGGAATGCATATATATCGAAAGTATGTTGTACACAAAAAGTGATTCAGACGTACCAAAATTTAAGACGGTATATTTACTATTTTTATCAAAACATGAAATTTATTATCGCTTTAGTTTTGACATCAACATTGAGAATGGAAATGGGGAATGTGTCAAAGAGACAACAACCATACCAGTACAGCAGAAGGTCACCAATAGGTCTTCAATGCAGAGACAAACTTCCGCACCCGGAAGCGTCCTTCAGCTGGCCCCTAAACAAATTTATATACTTATTCAGTGATAATGGACGTCATACTAAACTCCAAATTATACACAAGAAACTTGAATTAAATTATACAAGACTAACAAAGGCCAGAGGCTCCTGAATTGGGACAGGCGAAAACATGCGGCGGGGTTAAACATGTTTTTGAGATCTCAACCCTCCCCCTATACCTCTAGCCAATGTAGAAAAGTAAACACATAACAATACGCACAGTAAAATTCAGTTCAAGAGAAGTCCGAGTCTTTTGTTCTTTTCAATTTAAGCGATCAGCTGTGCTTGTTTAGTCTAATCGTATAGGTTTATATTCAAGCTACATTTTTATTTACAATTATAAAATAATCTTATTTTTATTATTCTTTTACCAGGGGTTTTTCATATGTTTGTTCCACTGTTTCCTGAATGATCAGGTATTAATCTTAACAATAGAAAGCAATAACACAAAAGAAAAAATATGGTTTGTATAAATGATATACTCGGACGTTAGTGATGATTTTTGTAAACTTCAGACATCAATAAATTCGCTATATATATGATGTATATCCACTATAAACTAGCTATGATGTATATCTTTATCTAAAAACTTACATAATTTATTTAGTGAAATTGATTTATCTGTAACCCAAAATTGAGAATGGAAATGGAAAATGTGTCACAAAGACAACAATCCGACCAAGGCGAAGAAAAAAGGTTAAGGTCACCAATTGGTCTTCAACACAGCGGGAAAATTACGAAATTAGAGACTGGCTTCACCTGGCCCCTAACACAAATATGTACTTATTTATACATTAACATATGTATAATGATGTTTATATTGTAAACAGGTCAGGCTCGGCTACCGTCATTATCAGAGACGACGACACGCATATCGTATGGATTCAAAACTACCTACCGAGTCTACTAATACTGTAAGTAAATATATATCAAAGACTTGACATAAATAATACCACAAATTTGTATACATGTAAGTATCTTGCATACAGGTGTTTGAATCAACATTCAAGTGTTGCTTTTATATGCAGAATATGCAATCAAAATAATACAGTATGCAAGAGAAAACTACAAAATTATCAAATCCTTTTAAATTGTTTGGTCGATTTTGTCAATAGTTCTGCATAAAGTTCTGTGTTATTGTTTTTATCTCCCTCCTTTTATCACATCAAATTAAGAAAAAATATCCGATCGATAACATTATGATCTTGAAAAACCTTAGTTCATTCGTGCATTGTCTGGATGTTTTGTTTTGTTTTTAACGTTGTGGTTTTTTTTATGAATATCCTTACACAAGCATATCTGCAATCATAACAAAATACTTGAAGAACAGCAAAATTTGTTTTGTTGATTTAATGTAGTGGATTTGGCATATTTCGTCTTTACTCATGTTTTCATAAGAATTTTAGTATTCTGATATATATATAAATGTGGTTGTATGATTGTTATCCTGGCATATTACTTTCATGCTCAAGAAGAGCTATAGATCATATACATGTCCAAGAAATTACAAACCATTTGTGCGTTGAAACTTAAATAACTTGTTTGTTATGGTGGAATAATGTCTGATTATAGTGTCCTTCAGGTCAGCCTTTTATTCAAAATTTAGAAGTACTAGTATTCTTATTTATAGATATTGTCGAATTGAGAAAATAAATGATCTGTTGTTTCTGTTTTTTTTTTTTAACTTTCTTTCATTTTCATATAGGACAATTCAAAAACACAGCGCCTCAACGACAACATCCGTGCAGAAAAGAAATGAGTGAGAGAGAATAAGAATACATATCACATCAATCATATGCAGTTTAATATGTTTTTTTTTTATTATTATATGTATACCTATTATATTATTTGTTCTGGTGTAAAATAATGTCTTACATAATTACAAATCGGACTTATAAATCAAGCCTTTCAGAAGTAGGGTCTAGTTTTAGCATTTTTTCAGTACATATTTTGTTTATTTCTACTGATAATTATATACTATGACTATTTCAACCAAAGTGTTCATTACAATCACAGTAATGAGGTAACAAATACAAACACAACATTATATATATATATATCATTAGTTATACATATATCATACATTGATGTTCAATAATTAAGGGGAGATAGTCAGTCCATAAAGTAAACACCGAAGGATAATACTAGGTTCACATCCAATTTTCATAATCTTATGGTAAATAGTTTTCACTGCCAAGATTTGTTCTCATATCTGTTGTCTTTTTAATTTGAATAAAGAATACAGATAATCACTGAAATCAAATATAAATTTATGTCACCATTTGCAATTGACATTATCGAAATCAATAGAACATCTTCATATAGGTATCTCTAGCTTTAGAACTTATCAAATATTTCATAAAGACATCGTTTTCTAATATCATCATATAGAGGGCATATAAAAAAAGTAAACTCGATTTTTAAATGTGTTGAGACAGCAAAAGTTTTTTGAAAATTTGATGAGGTAATAAAAACAACATTTTGTTCACTAACAACGACTTTTTAAAGCTATATAAAGTGAATATAGTTTTGTTGTTTTTTTATATTAACATAATTCTAAAATTAAAAGTTGAATTTTGAAATCAAAATAGGGTCTTCCATTTGCTGTGTTCATTCTGTGAAATGGCACCTCTAATGATTGGTTATTGCCTTAAAAATATAAGTTAAGGCATTCTTTAGAAACCTATTATTTGGTTTCACTATATATTTGGCAAATCAACATTTAATTTCTCGCTAACGAATATAATAGATTAGGTATCTGATAAAATCCAATTGTGTGATAAATGGTATGATGACAAACAGGTTTAATAAAATTATAAGGTATTAATCAAAGGTAATGATGTATAACAGGTATTAAAACATAGAACTACAGATACAATCTAAATGAATTTTAATAAATTGAAATATATCAGTTATAATGTTATTGGTAAGCTTTGTGTTTTAATCATTGTAATTTTGTTTTACTTAACAATTTTTCCTGTTAAATATTTTACTTTATTATAAATATATTCAAGCAGTTACTCATATATATCATGTGTACAGTGAGATTCTTGTAATTTCACTGAATAAAATTCAATATTTGTTTAGTTTTTTTTTAAAGAGTTTTTTAAATTCTTTTTTTCGAACTTGATAATTAATAACTTTCTGTCTTTTGAACTCTGCATGTTAAACACAGTTTCTATATATATTGTTCTTCTTGAAAAAATACCAAACCTTGAGGAAATTTCTAAACTAAAAACTCCGGAATCAAATGGAAAATTAAAAGCTCAAACACATCACACAAAAGAATAACAACTGTAATAATCCTGACTCGGTACAGGCGTTTTGATGTGTAGAAAATGGTGGATTAAACATAAAGACGTCAAAGGTACATTTAACCTAATCGAAAGACGAAAACAAAATGACAACGTTACGATTCAAAAGAAAAAGACAAACAAAAACAACAGTTCACAAAACACAACATACAAATTTAAAGATTGTGCAACACAAAAAATGGAATGATTGAAGGTGCTCAGGATGTGAAAGTATATCCTGCTCGATATACAGTACCCATCGTGTTGATACTGTAAGTTAAATCGCCGTGATAAGTGTAAGTCGGTAAGTCACACTCAGGGTTAAGCGAACAAAATTGTAGTTACGCAAATTGAAGAGTGTTTGTCATCGTCTGTAAAACAGATATTCCATAGCAGTCAAACAACTCGAGATAGCGTCCATAAAAATATCGTATCAACTGGGAGATATTTACTCCATATGCAAGTGCTGTTTGAATATTGCTACAGATTACACTTTGGCAGCTGTACGGAACTCTTTTGTTTTTAAGTTTTGTTTTCAACCCACCCCAATGTCAATTTCTAGAAGTATGTCAAGATATGAGGCAGTTTCAACTGTACGTGTGGTATTTTCATATCAAGTTCGATGGGAAATTGTAAAATAAAGTATGAAGTTTGAGATTTCATGTTATTTACGTAAGCGCATCACTGTTTTTATATTCTGTGGTGTTTATCGTTGATGCGATAAGTTCGTTGTTGTTCTGCGATTTGCATGTTGATTCAACGTTTATATTATTTGTGTGTGCATTTCTCTGTTTTGAATGTTCTTGCGTGTGTTTGTACTGTATTTCAGTCACATCCTGTTTTAGCGATACTATTTTACGAACTCATGAAGCGGGAAGTTTTGCATGGCTTTAAAACAGGTTCATCTCATTTGTATGCCCCATTTATGGGCATTATGTTTTCTGGTCTGTGCGTCCGTCCGTTTGTTTGTTCGTCTTTCCGTTCGTCCGTCCGTCTGTCCCGCTTCAGGTTAAAGGTTTTGGTCGAGGTAGTTTTTGATGAAGTTGAAATCCAATCAACTTGAAACTTAGTACACATGTTTCCTGTGACATGATCTTTCTAATTACAAAGCCAAATTAGAGATTTAACCCCATGTTCACGGTCCACTAAACATAGAAAATGATACTGCGGATGGGGCATCCGTGTAAAATGGACACATTCTTGTTTTTCCTTAAGATATCCTGTATCAAGTCAGGAATATGGCATTCGTTCTCAATTAGTTCGTGTATATGTGTGTTGGCATTTGTTTTTGTTGCAATTCGGTATTCTTGTTGTTCCTTTTTTTTTTCTCTCATGGTTGATGTGTTTCCCTCGGCTTGGTTGGTAATCCAGATTTGTTTTTCTCAATCGATTTTTGACTTATGAACACTGGTATACTACTGTTGCCTTTATCATGTTTGTTTCTGTCTATTTTTATTTTGCCATGGCACTGGCAAATTGATATGGACTAATGATTTTGAATATCCGTTTGGTATTTTCGCCTGTTGAAGACGAATTACCAACAACATTAACACATTTTACCTCAGGTTGTGTTTGTGACCCGGATTTGTTTCAGTTAACTTATTTTATGTATATTAAACAGCGGTATACTTCTATTGCCTTTATTTATGACATATTTAACTTACGACAGAGCAACACAACCTCCGTAAAAAGCAGATGGAACGTGGTTGCTCCCAAAATGTAAACATTGTTTGGCTCCACATGTTTAATTTGTTATAATGTGCAATTACACTTTCGGCACTAAATCGCGTCCGATAACTTCGTAATATATAAAAAGAGCACACGGTTATGGTAACGGACAGTGAAACCTACCTGCATACATTTTACAAAATGGTGCAGACAAATTTAGTAGATGCTTAAATGTTCAATTTTTAATCATAAATTGGCCCCTGGTCTCATTTAACCATCATACGTTTGTATATGTTTAAAAGGATGAGGAGCTGGGGTTTAACGGAATTTGTTTCGAATACTGTGAACAAAAAACAAATATTTCTTCTGACATAGATATGTACCGGACGGTTCCGACCAATGTAAATACACGTTTGTCTTTTAAACATGATGCGAAAGAGATCAAACGGATATTCAAAATCGTAATTCGAAAACAAATTGACAAATGCTTTGATTAAAAATGAAAACGACGAAAATGCAAACAGAACAAAAATAAAATCAAAGAAAATAAAGAATGAATCGTGATCACGTCAGTCAAATTTGCGAGGTAATGATTTCAACTTTAATACTTTAAACTCTTTGTTTTAACTATTTCGTGAATAGAAATTATGATAGGAATTCCAAACTCTGCAATATCTTGTAGATATATACATGAAGGTGCTGTCGGAATGTTGCTGCCTAGAAAATGCACAGTTTACAATAGGGAAGTATTAATACACTTGCGTTTCATGAAACACACTCGTAAACATACTTTTGATATGTCAGCTGGACAATGTTAATGAAACAGTACAATGATATGTGATGTTTAAATTCTTCCTACATAAAATAGGTTAACGGATTATTAAATTCGTCGCTCAATGTCATCTTCCTGTTATATTAAAGAAAAGTAAGTATACCTAAGGCCTTTTTATGTGTCGGCTAATTTATACTGAAGAATTGTATTATAGAAACTAACTGAATACAAAACCTTGGTTTTTTTGCCTACTATGATTTGCGCACTGTCTTGAAGACCCATTGATAGAGTTCGGCTGTTTTTCTGTTTTTTTTATCTGGTAATTGTTTTGTTGACATATTCCCCATTTCCATTCTTAATTTTATTTTATGATACTATAAACGACAATCTCATACCGTACAATCAGAACTATATACAAGTAACTGAACACTAAAATGAAAATATATCTAGAGAACATTACTTTTCGAATATTACAGTATATACTACAAATTCATTCTCTTAGAAAACGAGCTCAATATTGATAAAGTTGCCTATTGCATCGTTATCTTTATTTTAAGGATGATATATCTTTGGAGGAATTATCATTGATATGGTCATATTTATAAATTTACTGTTTACAAAACTTTTGAATTTTTTAAATACTAAGATTTTTTACCCCAGGAATAGATTACCTTAGGTGTATTTGGCAAAACGTTTAGGAATTTTTATCCTCAATGCTCTTAAACTTCGTACTTTATTTGGCCTTTTTAAATTTTTTTGTTTGGATTCGATCGTCACTGATGAGTCTTTTGTAGACGAAACGCGCGTCTGGCGTAAATACAAATTCTAATCCTGGTAGCTATGATGAGTTTATTTGTAGGAAAGAAAGAGGATACATAAATATGTTACATGGGGCATTCATATTAACTATGTAGTCTGTTAAGTTGCAAAATCATCTGGTAATACCCCTACACTCTTAAGGCCTTTTTATATTTTTATATTGTTTGGGATACTTTCTTTAGAGTTGATTATGCACAATTTGTGTATATAGGCATAACATTACCATCTTTCAATTCACCATTTTAGCAATGTATATTAGGTAATTATATCTTACTGTGTATTTTTTTCTTCTTAATTATTTAGATTGTCTTATGTGATGTGTTTAAAATTACGCTACTTCATTGGTGTACATACTTTACAAAATAATAATGTTGTTGGATTGCATCAGGACATATATAATTAGTCAAGCTTACTGTTATTTAAATTGTAATATGCTCAGCAACGTACATATCTTCCTCTACCGTTAATTACACAATTGTCTGTTTGCCTTTTTCTTTTTTAACCATTTATTTTCTATCTATGAGTTTCACTGTACCTTTGGTATCTTTCGCCCCTCTTTTACATGAAGTGTATGTGTTATATGGTTATTATTGTAAATAGTATGTTAACAAAACGTTGACTTTCGAAATTCTTATTATTTCCCGCCTCTATAATTGATTCGTAATCTGTATTTAGCAAACCACGGGTCTTTAAAGCTTCATATTCGTACTTTACTTGGCATATTTATACTTTATTTTTATTTGAGCGTCATATGAACAGACGAATTTAAAAAATAAAGACAATATGTGATACAGTCTTTTAATTAAGTGAGTAAATATATACATTATTACTCTTGATATCAGTTCAATCATGTTAAATCTGCATTTAATCTTCTTTCGCCGGAATTCAAACTCAAGTTATTGGGATATCGAGACAACACAGCCTGCACTGTGTCTAGCGTTCAAGACAACACGACCACCTCGACTGAACTAAAAATTCAGCTTTCAGTGGCCAAAAGTTACCTGTCCTCGTCAGTTGATTCTAGAGTTGTAATACAGAACATGGTGTATAAGGCATAAAGTTGAATTGACTGCGAGGGAAGAACAAAAAATTTGCTTCCGCAAATTGCAGATGTAACATGAAACACTGTCCAAGGACAATTAAAAACAAAAAGTCCTTTATCAAATAGCCAAATCAAACGCTCAAACAAAACAATCGAATGGAAAACCACTGCCATTTCCTTATGTAAACAATTGTTGATTAAACCTAGTTTTATAATTAATTTTATTGTCAGTCAACTTCCATATCTTAGTACTAAGCACAACATCGTTAAACGTTATACATAATCTATAAATTACGATATTCAGTTACTGTTTTTACTAGTGGAGCACATATTGACTTGTTGAATGTATTGCCTTTATTTATTTTTGTTTGTTTCATTTGATATATAGTAAAAATAAATTTTAGATGTAATAAGATATTTCTATGTAAAACTAGAATTATAATAACATTAATAAATATTTATAGTATCTCTTGTCGTCTCTTATTAATAACAT